TTTCAAATGTAAACATTTTTGAAAGACAGATGATGTTCGTGTGGATTCTTTTCTCTTGAGAGAACGTCAGGATACAGTGAGGAAAGATCAAAAGAGAAGATCAAAAGGTTTTTCTCTCCCTTTCACAATGGGGGTATAGCTCAGTGGTAGAGCATTCGACTGCAGATCGAGAGGTCCCTAGTTCAAACCTGGGTGCCCCCTGATTTCTTTTTGTTTTTTTTTTTATCTTCTCTTTTGATCTTCTTTAACTTTTCTATACTTGAGGAACTCTTTGAGTCGATTGGTCGATAGCCTCGATTGGTCAAACCTTTTTTTCAAAGTCTTTGATTCATAGTTAGAACGTTCGGGATCATTTCAAGTTGACTAGGCAAGGCTTAAAATACTTAAAAGCCTTCAAATGCCAAAAAAACGAAAAAAGACAAAAAAAGCAAAAAGCTTTGCAGCAAAAGGATTTGATTTGAATTTGAATCAGCGGCAAAACAATCAATGGTCGCACCTGATATAAGCCGTTTATCCACTAGACCACAGGCGGACTCTCTTCCAACGCGTGAGGAGCCTTATAAGGTAAGTACTAAAACTTCCGTGCCAAATAACTTACGTTTGGGGGAACGAGGGCAAAAGTTATATAGGTAGTCGTGATCAGCATCGTCGATTCTATAAGCTCCATTTGGTCTCAGCTCAGTCCCAGATGCTGACCTGAAGGACTTTCCTTGTAAGTACATTCAAGCACCGGATGTGGTCTGGAATGCTTCTTTTAAAACGGGAATTCAAGTTCAATATGAAGATTAGATGCTGAATGGGCGAAGACCGTTGACTCATAATGAAAATCCGACCACACCACTAACAAAAACCTATCTTGAATTGGGTTGGAATGTGTGAAACGAAGTCGCGAAGAACTTCATCATGGCCTCAGCTCGTGCTCAGCATCGTCGATTCTATAAGATCCATATGGTCTCAGCTCAATCCCAGACGCCGACCTGAAGGACTTCCCTTTTCAGTGCAATCATCACCAGCTTTAACTGTTAGACTTGTACTCTGAGCGAAGACAAGAGGTAAAATAGATCTAGGTCTATTTTGGCAACTATTCGACAAAAGTTTTTACAAAAAAACATTTTAGATGTGTGCTTTGATCAAATGACGAATTTTTAAAACTTTGCGTCTTTTTTTAGTTCAGTTTTGAAAGCACCAAAATAGAGCTTATATGCTGTTCAGAATCTTAATTCAATGAGCCACTTTTAGATCTTTTACGTTTGTTAGCCAAATAAATTTAAAAATAGAACTTGTAAATGATGTGGTCTCAGTACCAAAATAGCCAGTTGTTTGCTATAAAATGCAATGAGGTCTTCTGATTGTAACCGATTCTCTTCATTGGAACAAAGTCGCCAAGATGCCTCGTCCACTCTGCTCTTTCATCGTGCTCCTCTTCGCTATTCTTCTTGTCTTCAGTAAGTTTCAGTTTAATTACGATAAAAACTTGTTAATTTCAAAACCCAAGCTAAATCAAGATTACAGGCACTGTTTCCTTCGTCGATGCTGAGTCTTACGCAAGGTGTAACCCTTCTTGTCCAGTGAGTTTTGTGAATACGAATCAGTCTTTCAAAAATGACTTCTTTTTGATATAAACGTGGTTGATAAGATTGATTAAAAGACTAAAATAAGATTGTTTTTCACAAACATCAGACTCATGGTCATAATTTTCTTATCTCATCTCAAAATTATCATTTTCAGGATATCGGCCGTTGTTGTGGCATAAACAACCATATGAATGGTGGTTTCTGTGTCAATGGAAACGCTTACTGCAACTAAAATAATTTGAAAGACTTTTTTCTGGTATAAAATTGCAAAAGAAAGTTTTTGTAAAACACTTGAAGTGTTCTTGTCTTTCAGAAAGAACCTGATAAAGAAAAGCTGAAAAAGCACGTGAAAACTCAATGAAGTCAATATGTAGTCAATATGGTCAATATGTAGAGAGCTGAATTGAAAGAGACCAAAAAAAGGGCACCGGGATGAATGCTGTTAACTCGAGCATTCCACTAAATCGTTCCACTAATTAAAGCATTCCACTAAATCGATGATAAGGCGGCGTTGTGACGTTTCAAGACCAAAGAGTTGCGATCTATTAGAATAACTAGAGGAAAAGAAATGGAAATGAAGTGTTTATAGAAATGATGGGGTTAACTACCGTATTTTCTCTAATTTTTTTGGATCATTCTTGACTATTTTGTTATCAAATCAACCCTTAAACCATCAGAATTTCAAAAAAAACTCGCCGATGTACAAAAGAAAACTCAAACCGGAAAGCATTTTGAACACAAAGAAGTCTATTAACAAAAGTTTGTGAAGTTAAGTGCTCAATATTTGTTTCGGGGCTTTGTTCGAGTCTTCGATATACGATGAATGAGCCGTTTGCCCAAGTACAATTGAAGAACACTGTGATTGAGGGTTAAGTAGATACCGTATTTGTCTGATAGTAGTGCAGGCGTCTCCTAATTTCCTCGAAATCTCGAGAACCGCTTATCAGAACCTATGGATGTGGGGTCGGAAAATGTAGCTCACGATGAGATCTAGTGGGGGATTTGACTGTTGAGCTTCTGGGAGAACTTTGGAAGCCGTAAATAGTCACCAACTCAGCTGGGTGCACTACTATTAGAGAAAATACGGTAAACGTTTTGTGTATTGATGAATTTGATGCATTTAGCGGGTAAGCTTCATGCTTTTCTTTGAAAAACCGAACCAAACTCATCTGTTTAAAAGGAGGAAGAGAGAGAGAAGGAGGAATAGAGTAGATTTAGATCACAGTTAGCATAGTTGGTGTCGATTTTCGATGTCAATTTTAAAAAAACATTTCAATATGTATTTAGCAAGCATTCAAAGCTCAAAAAGATCTTCATAACGTTTTTTTTTTTGCTTTCTCGACATCCAAAGAGAATCACAACGATGGTCAACCCAAGAAAGTCAAAATTAATGAAGGATATCGTCGAAATGCTCATCAATACGCCCAGTAAACCTCCCAGATTTCTGATAAACGAATTGAACTAAATATTTAAAGGATTTCCCCTGAATATTGATCCCCTTTAAACTTTAAACTTCAGTAAATTTAATGAACTCACAGATATTATAGGAACTTCAGGAAATCGTTGTGAATTGGTTAACAATTAAAATCGGTTAACAAGAGAGGTTCAACTTGTCACCAGCTTTTAACCTAGACCAGATCTAGACCATTTTTTGTCTAGATATGGTCTATTTTTTTGCGCTGATTCCAAATCTGTACTCATTATCGACTCTGCACATCCTCTAAGGCTAGAAAAATGGTTTTAAAGTTGGCATTAGCTAAATGGCGTAAACAAGACACCGCCTTTAAGAAAGAAAGTTAAGGAAGGGAAAACAGTGAGTGAATGGCGTAGTGTTAGTAAGATTACGCAAGTAACTTGCCAAAGAACACTCACTGCCAGTTTCTAGACATCTAAAGACAAAGACAACTAAAGACAACTCAAGACAACTAAAGACAACCAAAGACAACTCATCATTGAGCAAAAATGCTAGCAAAACAATAGCTCTAGAGGCAAATGAGAAGTGAAATGAAAGAGTTATCCAAAAATGATATCATATAAGATGACGAAGATGAGGAATCGTCAACCATTGTCGTTGTCGGAACAGATTTTTGAATCCCTGGTTCGAATCCGGGTGCAACTTTTGATTTTAGTTTTTTTAAAAACAGTTTCTAGCACTTTTTTGTTTTAGCATTTTATATAAAAAGTTGAGAATACAAGAAAACTTTACACATTCAATTTATTATTTCAAATTATTTCAAATGCACTCATTCGTGTCACATAGTGTCACTCGTGGCTCTTTCAAACTCATGCCATTCGTGTCACATAGTGTCATTCGTGGTTCTTTCAAAAGAAATCTGACACCTCTGATGTCAGATTTCTGGTGATCTCAGTACTAAAATAGCCAAGAACACAGACATCAGAAATCTGACACCTCTGCTAACTAACTTTTAGCAGGTTGGCTCCAGCTCAAAAGTAGAGCTCGAGGCTCCAGCTCAAAAGTAGAGCTCGAAGCTCCAGCTCAAAAGTAGAGCTCGAGGCTCCAGCTCAAAAGTAGAGCTCGAAGCTCCAGCTCAAAAGTAGAGCTCGAGGCTCCAGCTCAAAAGTAGAGCTCGAGGCTCCAGCTCAAAAGTAGCGCTCGAGGCTCCAGCTCAAAAGTAGAGCTCGAAGCTCCAGCTCAAAAGTAGAGCTCGAGGCTCCAGCTCAAAAGTGAGAGCTCGAAGCTCCAGCTCAAAAGTAGAGCTCGAGGCTCCAGCTCAAAAGTAGAGCTCGAAGCTCCAGCTCAAAAGTAGAGCTCGAGGCTCCAGCTCAAAAGTAGCGCTCGAGGCTCCAGCTCAAAAGTAGAGCTCGAAGCTCCAGCTCAAAAGTAGAGCTCGAGGCTCCAGCTCAAAAGTAGCGCTCGAGGCTCCAGCTCAAAAGTAGAGCTCGAAGCTCCAGCTCAAAAGTAGAGCTCGAGGCTCCAGCTCAAAAGTAGAGCTCGAAGCTCCAGCTCAAAAGTAGAGCTCGAGGCTCCAGCTCAAAAGTAGCGCTCGAGGCTCCAGCTCAAAAGTAGAGCTCGAAGCTCCAGCTCAAAAGTAGAGCTCGAGGCTCCAGCTCAAAAGTAGCGCTCGAGGCTCCAGCTCTACATATTCAAAATAGTAAAACTAAAAAGAGAAGTTGCACCCAGATTTAAACCAGGGATTCCAAAATCTGTTCCGACAACGACATCGTCAATAGTTGACGATTCCTCATCTTCATCATCTTCCAGTCCATCTCAAATTCCTCGAAATTCCACCGCCACATCAACAACCACAGCTCCATACTTAACTGCAACAAAATTTTTAAACTCTACCCATTTTGTCAATGCTTTCTTTTGTAATTGCTTTCCTTTTGTTTTCTTTTGTTTCCTTTTGTTTCCTTTTGCAGGGAACGAGTTAATAAATCTTTATTTTCTTTTGAACGAACTCATCAAGCGAAGTGAATTCTAAAGTTTAAAAATAAAGCAATGAAGCGAAGAGAAATGCACGAATGAAATGCACCGTTTACACGGGCGCAAAGAAGATCAAGCACAAAGTACATGAAGAAGAAAACTTACCCTTGTCTGGGTCTCCAAAGGACACCGGATCGATCCCGGTGAACGCCTCTTTCTTCATGTTGTGGATAGACCTAGAAATCGAGGATTCGAATTTGATTCTAATAAGGAAACGATAGAAATACTGTAACTTTAAAGATAGAACTTTAAGTACTATCGAAACACTGTAAGTGTAGCACTAGAGTGTGTTCCTTGCAGACAACGCGTTTTCTAAAAAGTGCGCGCCAAAGATAAGCTACCGTAACCCTATGCCAAAACGAAAGTCCCGTTTTTTTGCTTGAGTTCAATTCTTTTCTGGCAAACTTTTGTTTTTTGTTGTTCTCTGTGTAAATCCACAATCTGACACACCATCTATAAGCATCTAATCAGCCAAAACACTCGAACCAAACAGCCCTCGTGGTTTCACGCACTCTTTAACTCTCTCTTCAAAGTCCTTTGCAACTTTCCCTCACGGTACTTGTTTGCTATCGGTCTCGTAGCCATATTTAGCCTTAGATGAAGTTTACCACCCGCTTAAGGCTGCGTTCTCAGGCAACCCGACTCCAAGGAACGACCGACCGACTCCGTCACCACTCGTACAGGACTTGCACCTTGCATCCTAACTCACTGTCACTCGGCCACCGTTGCAATTGCTGGGCTCGCGGAAGACCGGTATTGACTCAAGTCAATACCACAAACTCAAGCTCTCTAAAAGGCGCTTAAAAGCCAAGAACGCATTCTAGTTGCAGTTGCATTTTGCATTTTTCATTGCAAGTTGCATTTTAGACCAAACTAAATAACAAAACTAAACAATAATATCAAAATAATACCAAACGAAATATAATGTGGCAAGGACTACGAGACTACGAGACGATCATGGGATCTCAAAAGAAGTAATCGAAATTTTTGTCAAGTTGTGCCCAGAATGCGAGCCCAAAAAAGGAACACCAAAGAAAGGAATAGTCGTGAAGCCAATTGTTACGAAGGATTTCAACGAGAGATGCCAGGTGGATTTAATCGATCTTCAATCCGTTCCCGATGGAGAATTCAAGTTTTTGATGGTCTACCAGGATCGAAAAAAAGTCGAAAAATGCAAAATGCAACTGCAGCTAGAATGCGTTCTTGGCTTTTAAGCGCCTTTTAGAGAGCTTGAGTTTGTGGTATTGACTTGAGTCATAACTCAAGATTTCATTTTTGAGACTTAATCGGCTAGCCGAAGAAGTCTGACTCTTAATCGGCTAGCCGAAGAAGGTTTCGCTAGCGAAAAAAATTTGAGACTTCTTCGGCTGAAATCCTTCATCGGCTATGAGATATACACATCTAATCAGCCAAAAGACTCGAACCAAACAGCCCTCGCCTTGCATCCTAACTCACTACCACTCGGCCACCGTTGCAATTGTTGGGCTGCAATTGCAATTGCTGGACTCGCGGAAGACCGGGTTGTAATGTGACGGCTTGATTTTTACTCTTCATAAAACTTTAAAGGCGTATAACTTTTGACAGAGTGCTCCATAGGGAAAAAGAAAAGCAGCATCATGATCAGTGTGAAATTCTGCGTTGAATGATCTATGGCTTTGCCTTTTGCCTTTTGCCACATCATTGCTAGTAAGCTTCTTGTTAGTAAGCTTTGCTAGTAAGCTTATTGTTAGTTGAGATAAAGTTTCACCTACCGGTTGTCCGGCCAACGATCCGATCGGTTTCTCAAAATCCCAAATGGCCACTCGGTGATGGGGTTCTTTGGCGTGAAGACGACGATGAAAATCGGTAAGGGAATGCTCAGATCTCACAGCTGAATGCGTTCAATCTCTTTGGAGAAAAAAGTACTTTGGAGGGGATTTCGTGTTTCTTCAAACTTGTGCTCAAATATTTGTGCTCAAATCTGTGAACGCACTCTTTCTTGTGCATTGAATTCTACAGTTTTCTCACAGCAACATTCTAGCTATAGAAGAAGAATGGCTACCTAGAATCTAAGTCATTCTACTTAGAAGAATGACTACCGTATTTTCTCTAATATTAGTGCACCCAAAGCTTTGCATAAATTCCTCGAAATCTCGAGAACCGCTTATCAGAACCTATCGATGTGGGGTTGGAAAATGTAGCTGACGATGAGATCTTGACGATGATTAGAGTCTTGAGCTTCTGGGAGAACTTTGGAAGCCGTAAATAGCCATCAACTCGGCTGGGTGCACTACTATTAGAGAAAGTACGGTAGTAGAGATAAGATTTTTGTTTTTGTGTGCCTTTGAAGACCCTTTGAAGACCTATAACTTTGTCTAGAGATAATATTATAGCTAACTTTTTATATCATTGTACAGAGGACATTTCGGGCTTTCAAATGATACCAAATAGAGCTTGATTGGAAAATCCAGTTCAAGAAAATCCAGTTCAAGAAAATCAGAGCCAACTCAAAGCAAATGACGCCCGTTCAGCTCGGGTGTCGTGTCGCCTTGTTGGCATGGGAATGGAAATCCAATCAAGCTCTATTTGGTATCATTTGAAAGCCTGAAATGTCCTCTGTACAATGATATAAAAAGTTAACAAAAGTATGATCTCTGGGCAAAGTTATAGGCCTTCAAAGGGTGACCGTTCAAAATCCCGAATTCTTTCAAATACCCGGAAACTACACAAGAACCGGCTGTCCTAAACAAGTAAAAGGATCTGTAAGTAAGATCAAATCAGGCTTAAACTAGGTTAGGCCATGTCAGACCAAAAAAGACCTGGACGGGGTCAGGACCAAGGGCGGACCGGGGTCGGGACCAAGATCCGGACGGGGTCAGGACCAAGATCCGGACGGGGTCAGACCAGAACATGACAATGTCGGCTCAGATCAGGTCCAGTCCAGGTTGATCGTGGGCAATTGATGCACTACTATTAGAGAAAATACGGTAACTAGTTCTAATTAGATTCTAGCTATTTATGAAGACTGAATAGCTACCGTAAATACTGTAATTGGACCCCATCCCCCTCGTACAGTCGCGTAGTCGCAAAAGTTTTTTAGTATTTTATTTTTTTCAAAGCGCCCGTACTTTCAAAAAATGCGTATTTGGTATCAAAAGAAAGCCCTGAATCTCAGCTATTTTTTGATACCTAAGCGCGCATTGTAGCATAAACCAGTGTCGAGAAAAACGCGTCCAAAGCAAGACTACGCAACGCTCCGCACCGTCATTATGGGGGTGGGGTACTATTACAGTATTTACGGTAGTATCTAATTAGATATTGTTCGGTGAAAAAAATGAAGGATTAAGTGCACGAGAAATCGTTTATTTTGTACACAGAGAAATCGTTTTTAGTAGACTTCGGAAAACAAAACTTAACCAAAACTATGTCATTAAATGAATTTCGGCTTTTGGGTAAAATCTGGAGCTTTTGGTTTAGGCTAGAGTTCGGCAAACAAAACCAAAACCATAACAAAACCAAAACCAAAACTAACCAAAACTCGCCAATATTTCGCGACTGGGAGGAGCTAGCGAAAATCTGTTTGCAGATTTGAAATCAGCATGCAAAAATCTATCCCATAGGCTATTTTTTGTTTCGAAATTTCGAGGTCGTGTTTTGGTCCTTTTTTCGGCCGCGAGATTTTGTGGAGCGAGAAAAAGTGAAAGGCAAATTTGCATTTTACAATTTTAAATTTGCATTTTACAATTTTAAATTTACATGTTAATTTATATGCAAATTGAGTTTTGGTTTGTTTTGGTTTTGGTTTGTTTTGGTGTCTTGGTTTTGGTTTGTTTTGGTTTTGATTTTGGTCTGTTTTGGTTTTGGTTTTGTTTGCCCGAACTCTAGTGCGCACTACTATTAGAAAGAATACGGTAGTTTATTTTGCACACAGAGAAATCGTTTTAGCACAAAGTAAACAAGTAAAACAAGAAAAAAAGACTGAAAAGCTCAAAAGAGCTACTCAAAAAGAGCTAAAAGCTAACTATCAAATGAAAAGCTAAATAGAAAATCAATCATAGATTTAGAAATCACCTGCAAAAAGCCTGCAAAAAGCCTGCAAAAAGCCTGCAAAAAGCCTGCAAAAATTTACCTGCAAAAAGAAATATATTCAAGACGATTGTTGATAATAAAAAGCCATTTTTGATGCTCATTTCTTTAATGCAATCATTTCTTTTCTTTCATTTCAATCATTTCTTTAATGCGATCATTTTTTTTGTGTGTTATTTGTCAGAGAGAAAGAGAGAGAAAGCTTTTCAGCAGAGATCTTCAAATTTTTGTCAATTGCAGAAAAAAAGAAGAAAATTGAAGAACAGGACGTGTCGAGAACGATCGGTTTCTCTTTCTCTCAAAAATTTTTGTTTATTTCATGAAATCAAATGCTAAAGATCAATTTGGGGGAAAGAAATCCCGTTCCCTATAGTGTCCGGAGAAATAAACAAAAAACAAACACGCTGTGTACTTTGTGCTTTTGTAAACGCATTAGTTGATTAATTGGCTAAAGATAAAGACAATATTATAGAAAGAGAAAGGGGAAACACTATAGGGAACGGGTTATGGTAATCGAGATTCTTTTTGCAAGTTCGGGAGTCGTTTTTCTATCTTTAGACAATTTTCTAACCTTTTGCTACTTTATATGCCTTTTTGCCAACAGAATTTATCTTATACGCACTCAGCGTAATGCCTACAGCGATCATTTGGTGGACTTGGCTTCTCCAAAAAAGAGCTCATCGCTCTGGGATCTGACCTCAACACACAGCACATAAAGGTGAGTCTACAAAGGAATGTCTTGAAAAGATGAAATTGCATTTACGTGCCTGGAGGGACGACCAAATTCGCAAGTTTGATAATGTTTGTTGGAATGCTCCTTTTAAAGCATACATCAGGCAACAATCCTGGGTTTTAACTTTGGCTCCAGACTTGAGGAGATCGCGCAAAGATCGTAATCGCAATCGCATTCGCAAAGGGGGAAACCTACGACGTTCTGTAGAGACGTACTTGACATGGATTTTCAAAGCATGGGAACATCTTTTAAAGGCAATGATGCAGAAGTCTTTCAGGATGTGGAATTGGAATTTCAGCAATTGGAACTGAATCGGTACCTTATTGGAGCGAAATCGGTATCGTATTGGAACCATATTGGAACCATATTGGAACCATATTGTATCCGAACCACATTTTAGCATATTTTAACAAAATATAGGAAAAAACGGAGACGGAACCGAACCAAAACCCGAACCGTATTGGAACGGAACCGGAACGTACCGAACCATATTGGAACCGTATCCGAACCATATTGGAACCTTATTGGAACCATATTGGAACCAAATCGGAACCGTATCCGAACCATATCCGAACCGTATTGGAACCGTATCCGAACCGTATCCGAACCATATTGGAACCGTATCCGGAACCTATTTGGGGCGGGTTTAGAACCATATTGGAACCGTATTGGAACCGTATCCGAACCATATTGGAACCGTATCCGAACCATATCCGAACCGTATTGGAACCGTATCCGAACCGTATCCGAACCATATTGGAACCGTATCCGAACCATATTGGAACCGTATCCGAACCATATCCGAACCGTATTGGAACCGTATCCGAACCATATTAAAACCATATTGAAACCAAATCGGTACCGCATTGGACCCATATAGAAACCAAATCGGCGAAGAAGACGATATGATTCAATGTTTCAAGACCGATTCCTACTAGGCGACAGCTGCTTAAAACGCTTGAACGGAGAAAGAAATCGATGATGTTCTGGGGCCACTCCAATCAACACGATTTATGGAATTCCGATATTCAAGAAGGAATTGATGTTCAAGATATTCAAGAAGAAGGAGTTGATGAATTTATAGATTTAGACGCATCGTTTTGTTTTGGGGATTGATCTGTTTTTATGTTTGTTGTTTGTTCGCAACATTGTTGTTTTGTTGATTGTTAAAGATGAATAAACGAAATTCAAAAGTCAAAAAATATCAATGAATTATCTAGAAGACTTCCAGATCGCGTTGTCTAAAAGATTTTTCAGGAGGAGACTTAAAAGCGCTTCAAATAGAAGCGCACACTCAAATAGAAGCGCAAACCCAAAAAAAAGCGCACAAAAAAAAAAAAGCGCACACTCAAAAAGAAGGCACAACCAAAAAAAAGCGCACACCCAAAAAAAACGCCCCACCTCAAATAAAAGCGCACACTCAAATAGAAGCGCACACTCAAATAAAAGCGCACACTCAAATAAAAGCGCACACTCAAATAAAAGCGCAAACTCAAAAAACCGCTTCAAATAGAAGCGCACACTCAAAAAACCGCTTCAAATAGAAGCGCAAACTCAAATAAAAGCGCAAACACATTAGAGAAAGAAAAATTAGAAGCTCATGCGCTTCTATTAGAGTCTTTACGGTCTATTAAAGTCTATTAGAGTCTATTAAAGTCTCTATTAGAAAGCAGCTTCCAAAAACCTCAAAAATTTCCTGAAAGAAGCAAAATTGATGAAGATAAAAGACTAGTTTTTGCAAGATTTTGGTTTGATTGAAAATGATAAAGGTGTTGGACCTAAAAACGGCTAAAAGGACGGTTAAAAGGTAAAAAAAACTAGTAAAATAACTTTATTAGAAGATAGATAACGAAAAGCAAAAGTTTTCATTACAAAAATTGTCGTTTAGTTCGAAGAAAATTGTAGTCATTGATTGTTTTGAGTTTATCACATCGTTTCGTCCACTCTGGTTGACCATGAGTATTCGGATTGTTGAAAGAATCGGCTCCTCCGGTTGGATCGTCGCTCATCGGCTGATAGTAGATGTTGTCGGTGAGCTCTTTGATCTTTGCATAATGAGCCGGGTTGTCGATGTGAATCCCATGTCTCCGATTCGAGTCATTCCAACAAAGGAATTGCCCTGGCTTCAGACAAACTCCTGAAGTTTTAGACAAACTCGCATAGTTTTAGAGTGAATAAATCGGTTACAATTTTTGGAACGAACCAAATTTAGAGAGATAGAGATAAGGAGCCATTTCATATTTCGTCCGTCTCATATTTCTTTATCCATACCCCAAAAAGAGGTTTTATGGAGAATGGGTGGAGATTTTAGGGTTTTACAATGTAGCCTTTCTATTGCAAAAAAAAATAGTTTGATATCTCCACTCATTCTCCATAAAACCTCTTTTTGGGGTGTGGATAAAGAAATATGAGACGGACGAAATATGAAATGGCTCCTTATCTCTCTATCTCTCTAAATTTGGTTCCTTATCTCTCTAAATTTTGGTTCCTTATCTCTCTGTAGTAACCGACTTATTCACTCTAAAACTATGCGAATTCAGGACTGTATTAGGGTGATCGGAATGAAACAAGCCCTCACATATCTTTTCAAAAATAAAAAGATTGCAAGTCAATAAGTATTCTATACTATTAGAAAGCTCTCAATCTCTACAGAAAGCTCTCAATCTCTAGAGAAAGCTCTCAATCTCTACAGAGAGCTCTCAATCTCTACAGAAAGCTCTCAATCTCTAGAGAAAGCTCTCAATCTCTACAGAAAGCTCTCAATCTCTACAGAGAGCTCTCAATCTCTACAGAAAGCTCTCAATCTCCTCTACAAAGTAATGCAAAAAGATTTTGAATTGAATTGATTATTGGAGGACTTGGGTATTAAAAAGTAACAGCAAGTCAAGTCTTAACCTGGGTGCCTGCGCCTGTGGGCAACGGATCAAAACATCATTTTCAAAAGCATATTTCTTAAGTTTTCAATGCTCAAATCGTTCCAAAACCCATTTTTTTAGAAGGCTCGTAAAAAATTATCCTAGAAAAAGTGGGTTTTCGTTCTGGTTTTAATTGGTTTTCGTTCTAGTTTTAACAGGTTTTCATTCAGAGAGGTGAAATCGATCGAGTAGGTTCTGAAAGCTGAAATGTATCAAAAACAACTGTCTTTTAAAAAGGTAATAGATGTATCTTGTAGAGCTTGAATTGGGCTTTCAGAAAATATATGGTGTTCTGGGGGTTTTCTTGCGATTATCTGTCCAAAAATAGTGTTGAAAGTGGGGTGCAGGGACGGTTTGACTCCGGTACTGGACATTCCCCAGAAAATGGTCATTTTTGTCATTTCAACTTAAAACTCACCCAAGTCCTCAATAATCAATCCAATTCAAAATCTATCTTATAGAGGGGATTCAGGGCTTTCAAACAGTCTACACCACTGAGGTACTTGTCGGTTGTACATCCACAAAGACTCAACTCGGTTAAGCAAGAAGCAACTGTCGGTTAAGCAGCTGTCGGTTAAGCAGCTGTCGGTTAAGCAGCTGTCGGTTAAGCAGCTGTCGGTTAAGCAGCTGTCGGTTAAGCAGCTGTCGGTTAAGCAGCTGTCGGTTAAGCAGCTGACAACTTGTGATTGGTGATTATGTTCAGTGAAGTAGAGTGATCTGAAGTGATCAGTCGATCAGTTGAACAAAAATCGATAACCGAGAGGACTCGGATGGGGACGCTTCTCTTCGTCTTTGTGGATAAGTCTTTGTGGATAAGTCTTTGTGGATGTATAACCGACAATTACCAACACTTATTGGCTGAGGCTTGCAATCTTTGTGATTTTTGAAAAGATATGTGAGCGCTGGTTTCATTCTGATCACCATAGAACGGTTCTGATCACCATAGAACAGTTCTGATCACCATAGAACGGTTCTGATCACCATAGAACAGTTCTGATCACCATAGAACAGTTCTGATCACCATAGAACAGTTCTGATCACCATAGAACAGTTCTGATCACCATAGAACAGTTCTGATCACCATAGAACGGTTCTGATCACCATAGAACGTTTATAGAAGAAAAACTTACCCTTGATAAAATTTCCACCCCAATACGGCTTGTTATGAAAGGCTCGATTCTTGATCACCCATGCCACCCAAATCCACGCCTCATACGGTTGCCAATGAGCTGATCCCCAAACGGTTTGAGCGAATACTTCTCTCTCGCTGAGATTCGACTCTGAAAATACTCAAAAAAAATTCTTTTATTTATAAGTATGTACTACGCACTTTAAATGCAACTATAAGTCCAATTACTTGCGCCTCTTCCCGAGAAAATCCTGGATTGACGCTTTAAAGCGTGGTAAAATTACCGTACCCCTCCTAATTTGGGTGAAGTTTCATTTTTTATTTTTGTTTATTTCATTTTATTCTTTTTGCATTTTTCTGATGTTTTTGTTGTTTTTGCATTGTTTTTGCATTGTTTTTGCATTGTTTTTGCATTGTTTTTGCATTGTTTTTGCAGAAAACAAAGAGGATAAAGCTAAGTTACGTTTTTAACACGTTGACGACATTGTCACCTGATGTCAGGTGACATTTTTTGTCGCAAAAAAACAACGTTGTCCCATGCGATTGTTTGTGCAAAAACGCCATTGTCGTCAACGTGTTAATAGCATTTTCTCTGGCGGTAGCTTTGTTTGTAGAGTTTTTTTAGACCCACTTGCTTCCCGAAGATCTGCTCCAGGAACTTGATGCCAATTAATGTTAAGTTAAGTGCTTTTTATCATTTTCTATAGCGGATGCTTTGTTTTTGTGACTTTTTAGTTTGAAAAAAGAAGTTTTAAAAAAAAAAAAAGAAAAAAAATTAAATGAAAAAAAAATGAAAAAAGAAAAATCGCGCAGATTGGAGGGGTACGGTAGTTTTGGCCACGCCTTTAAAAGCGCCAAAAAAGGGCGGGATTTATTAAACCGTAAAATCTATTAAAAATGCTTGCGTTTGTTTCAACAAATTACTGGTAATTTTTGAGCTAGAAAGAAGAGTTGACAGGGGGGGCGTTTTTGTTGCCGCAAAGATGAACCCGGGGGGGAACGGGAAGTAACTCGTTTTCTTTATTTTTTTTTTTTTTTTTGTTTTTATTATATTTGGAATATAATTAAAACTTTTTTCATGTAAAATGTGTTATTTTTTAGAATGGCTGAAAAATCCCCATCAAGAATCGATCCATCGCACCCAAGCCAGGAATGGCCCGGGGCTCGAAGATTCTTAAGGAGTTGTCGACAGAAGTGTCATTTCCCACACTATTCAACGCTACGAAGCTACGGGAACAATTTCTGATGCACTAAGAAGCGGTCGATGGGCGTCTACCGCTTCTGATCAACTGTCGTCACAAAGACAAACATTAAGCGAGTGAGGGACCGAATTCGGAAGAAGCCAAAGCAAGGTAAATGGCAAAGAAGATGGCGATTTCAAGCACCTCATTGCGTCGGATTCTCAAAAATAGGCTCAAACTTACTGCTGACAAGAAAAACAAGGCTAAACTAAACTAAACTTCTTTCGGCTAAGGCAACAAGGCTCAACTTCTTTCGAATGCCGCTAAAATCCAAGAAAGTCAAAGAGTTCTGCCAAAACAACGCCCAGGACTTCATTTCTTTCTCTGAGTGACCTAGCTCTCCAAACCTCAACCCAATGGATCTTTTAGTGTGTTCGGTTCGGTAGAAGCCAAAGCTTGTTCAAAGCCCGATACAAACATCGAATGCTTGAAGAAATCACTGTTGAAAGCGTGAGAAAAGCTCGATTCAGCCTATTTTGTCCGTTGGCGCCTTCCCGAAACGCCTGCGAGCCTGCTCAAATGCTAATGGTGACCGATTCGAATTTGATAGTTCATTTATAATTGTTAATTTACAAGAAATGTTATTCAGTTAAAAACTTGACTTTTCTGCTCTTGTCTGCCTTAAAAAAATAACTTTAACTTATTGCGATAATTATGGCGCACCCTGTCCATACATTTTTTAATCTACACTCTTAAAAAAACTCAAAATCAAAATTTGAAAAGCATTTTCGTTCAACACCTGCTGAAGCTTGTTGAGGCCTCTGACTCATCAACTGAATCATGCCTGGTCGACCTTTTTCGGCTTGAGAAATTTCGCTCCCTAAAATAAAGAAAAAATTTGTACAACTTCATAAAAACAAACCGGATTTTTGCTCAATCCGTTCGTTGATTCCGCTTGTGCCATGATAAGTTCCAGTGACTGTTTTCCTTTCATTGCTCTTCGTTTCGATGATCATCGTGAATGGAATGTCCATCTCATAAACATCAACCACAAAAGCTTTATACAAATCTTTATATGGCGCCACTTTGACGACGTTTTTCAGCGTGAACGACTCGGTTTTCACAGTTTTGTCTGTCGTGTTCATAGTTTCTTTGGCTCCGCCTAAAAAAGAGCTTTTTCGCGGAAAGTAACAACAAAAATTTATTCAAGTCAAGTCTAGTGGTAGAGTAGATTTAAATCGGTCTAACACCTGCTTAGAGTGCTTTAAATGCAAACGTCAACAAACCAGCATCTCATTCCGACTTATATTAAGCTGGTGAATTGAAAACTGCAGAACTTTGAACTAAAATTTATTCAACATAAAACCAGCAATTCATTCCAAATAATTTCCATTATTATTGACGACTTCTGCCCATTTTACAGGCAATTTGCGGATTCCTCTTTCATAGTAGGATTTTGGTTTTGAATCGAAAAACTTTTCGAGCCAATTTTTGACTGCTTCTTCCAAATCGAAGTGTTCTCCCGCAAGCTCTTTACTCATGATCCGGAATAAATAGTAATCAAAAGGAGCTGGACTGTATGGGGGATGTGCCAAAAGTCCTCAAACAAGGCTATTTATTTTAGAGCGAGTCAGTTTTGCAACAGGAGGGCGCGCGTTCTCGTGGATGAGAATGATCTTTGACTTGAAGGGCCTATTCTTCTTTAGGGATTCATCCACCTTTCCCAACTGTTCACTGTATTTGATTGCATTAACGGTCGCCTTGCTTTTCAGCAACTCCCAGTGCACCACTCCCTCCATATCCCAGAAAGCGCAGAGCATAAACTTCTACTGGTGCAAATGGGGCTTAGGGTCCCTTTCGGGTTTCTCGCCTGGCCCCACCCATTGCCGCTTCCTCTTTTTCTTCCTCGACTTCTGCCCATTTTCCAGGCAATTTGCGGATTTTACAGGATTTTGGTTCGTGTGTGAGACTCAAAAATGGAGGACTGGAGGAATGTCCCAATTTGAGCACTTTCTTCAAAAGAAACCCATTTTGGCGTCAATAGAAAAGTTGTAGAGAATCAAAAATTAGGCTTATAGCCAAATTTTCAAAAAGATACACTTAGTAGTTTTGCTTAAAATGTTTTGTAAAATGCAAGTTTTGTGAAAATTCGTAAATTTGGCATTTCTTGAAAACCAGTTTTTGAATCGTTCTGAAAATTTGGATATAAGCTTGATTTTTGATTCTCTACAACTTTCCCATTGACACCAAAATGGGTTTCTTTTGAAGAAAGTGCTCAAACTGTCACATATGACAAGAGCCCGCAGGCTTCAATTCACCAACCCAATACATTCGCTAACGCTAATCAAACGTGAATTTATTGCCTAGTTTTTATGCAAAATCTCACAAGCACTTACCTCCACTAGTGACCGTTAATGACAGTTCACTTTTCTCGATGAGCGGAATCTTCAACTCGAACTTCACTCCCGTAGCCACATTCACCGTCCAGTGGGTCTCTTTCGAAAAGCTGACCGAGTGCTCGTCGGCTCGTGTTCGGGTCCATCTAAACTTTATTTTTCACCTCTTTCAACTCTACTAAAACTTTTGAATTTTTAATAAAACCCACGTGTACTCGCCGTACAACTCTTGACTCGAACGCAAATTGTCGTAGTAGCCGACGCCGATGATGTCCGGTTGTTTGTAGGCGAGTTTTGCACGTGGATAGTCGAGTTTTATGTCGATCACTTTTCCCAGACCGTTATTCTTCTCGTTCCAGTTGCATGTCTTGTCGACAAGAGATCTCATGTTCTGGTTTAGCAAATCGGACACACTTCCGTAGCCTTTCTTCTCCAGTTCGAACATGCACTTGTTCATGATTTCGTACGTGGACATGTTCTTTCGAGGTAGCCATTCTGAAAGATTTCAACTCAGGAAAACAATTTAAATAACTTTTTGCTGTTTTGGTGTCATTTTAATGTAAGATAGTCTCTAAATTCTCATTCATTTCTCCTAGATCTCCCCGTAATCCTAGACAACCCTCGAGATTCCTATTTGTTTCCTTTCAACAAACCATTTTTGTGACAAAGAACAACAAGAGCAGTCAAATCGACGATTCCATCGTAACTCTTTTCCTGCAGTCTTTCCACACTTTCTCCCATCAATTTCCTCAATTCGACGATTATCGTATTCTTCTTGTCATCGTTGGACATGTTATTGATTTCTCTCGGTGTCTTCCATCCAAATGTAAACAAAAGATCGGCCATATTTCTTGGAGGCCATGCCTCTCTCATCTCACCGTCTCTATTGCCTGAATTAGGGTTTTGTGGGAAAACCGAACAATTAGCATCCCCCATATTTGGTTTCTTTTCGGTACAGATTTGGTTCCTTTTTCTCTACAGATTTGGTTCCTTTTCTCTACATATTTAGTTCCTTTTCTCTACAGATTTGGTTCCTTTTCTCTACATATTTAGTTCCTTTTCTCTACAGATTTGGTTCCTTCGGCTCGGGGTGCACTACTATTAGAGAGAATACGGTGAGAGCACTACTATTAGAGAGAAGGAACCAAATCTGTAGAGAAAAGGAACCAGATCTGTACTGAAAAGGAACCAAATCTGTACCGAAAAGGAACCAAATCTGTAGAGAAAAGGAGCCAAATCTCTACCGAAAAGGAATCAAATCTGTAGAGAAAAGGAACCAAATCTGTACCGAAAAGGAACCAAATATGGGGGTTATTCAAATATGGGGCTCTAAGATGCTAATTGTTTGGTTTTTTTGTTGAATTTTTTCAGCACCTAAATTCCAAAATAACTAAAACAATTTTAGTTATTCTGGAATTTAGGTGCTGTTTCTCAAGGTCAAAGCTTCGTGTCTGCAAAAACCAAAAAAAGCGACCTATGTTTCTATCATCAAATTCGCATTCAGCGTGCTTAAAAACCCTAAAATGTGACTAAAAAGAAAAGAAAAAGTGAAGAAAATATTTTGATTTTTTTCAAAAAATTCACAGGGGGGACCACATGGAATTAGCCAACTTCGCAATAATTTTTTTTTGGATAGACCAATTTTCAGTTTTGTTTTTGTTCTGAGATCAGTAAACATGCAAAAACATTTGCTAGCAGCCGGGTTTTTTTTAAGAATGATTTGATTTGTAAGATAAGGTAAGATAAGGTATTTGTGATCGATGTGGGGGAGGATTCTTGGGCTGATGGAGGGCAATTACCTCCATCAACCCAAGAGTTCGGTCATCCCAGTTTTGTCATCCCAGTTCGCAATTCTTAATTCTAAAAGATTAGAAACAAAGTTTAAAGTTAAACTTTAAAAGTTAAAGTTAAACTTAAAAGTGTTTAATTTTGACTTTTTCAAAAACGTAAAACCAACCAGACATTGAAGATTTGTGAAGCTTCAAATGTGATTAGAATGTGAAAGAAAATTTAGAAACAAAACTTTGAAATGACCCGATTAGAAGTGCTTTTAAACCTCGGATTTAGACAAGCGAGTTTTTCTTGCAAAAGAATTCAACGAAATTTCTGCTTTGATCGTTTTTGTCTAGAAAGAAACTAAAGTAAATAGCGGAAATCTTTTGAGAGAACTTTTTCAAGAGAGACATTCAAGAGAGACATTTTGTTGATTTTGAGACTCATCATCTTTTACCATCATCGTCATCTTTACGGTAGTTTTTTCCCCCAATATCCTTGTGCAAGTTTTTTCCTTGCGCAAGTTTTTTGTTAAACTTGAAAAAGCGAAAGAAAGCAGCAAACAAGCCTTCCAATTCTCGAACTCTACTTTCTTTTTTCGAACTGAAAGCAGAAATCGAACAAAAAGCCCCATATTCGATCAAATTTTTCTCGAAAACCACCCACAAAACCAGAGATCTTTGGTCTCTACCGCTCGACCACAGCCTACTAGAATCGAGGCCGCGCCTAAGACCCAAAAACCCGTATTTAAGACCCAAAAACAAAACATTATAGCTCCTGCCAGAATAACGTTCATCCAGAGAGCTTGATTTAGAGAGCTTGATCCAGAGAGCTGGATTTAGAGAGCTTGATTTAGAGAGCTTGATTTAGAGAGCTTGATTTAGAGAGCTTGATTTAGAGAGCTTGATCCAGAGAGCTTGATTTAGAGAGCTTGATTTAGAGAGCTTGATCCAGAGAGCTTGATTTAGAGAGCTTGATCCAGAGAGCTTGATTTAGAGAGCTTGATTTAGAGAGCTTGATCCAGAGAGCTTGATTTAGAGAGCTTGATTTAGAGAGCTTGATTTAGAGAGCTTGATTTAGAGAGCTTGATTTAGAGAGCTTGATTTAGAGAGCTTGATCCAGAGAGCTTGATTTAGAGAGCTTGATTTAGAGAGCTTGATTTAGAGAGCTTGATTTAGAGAGCTTGATTTAGAGAGCTTGATTTAGAGAGCTTGATCCAGAGAGCTTGATTTAGAGAGCTTGATTTAGAGAGCTTGATTTAGAGAGCTTGATCCAGAGAGCTTGATTTAGAGAGCTTGATTTAGAGAGCTTGATCCAGAGAGCTGGATTTAGAGAGCTTGATTTAGAGAGCTTGATTTAGAGAGCTTGATTTAGAGAGCTTGATCCAGAGAGCTTGATTTAGAGAGCTTGATTTAGAGAGCTTGATTTAGAGAGCTTGATCCAGAGAGCTTGATTTAGAGAGCTTGATTTAGAGAGCTTGATTTAGAGAGCTTGATTTAGAGAGCTTGATTTAGAGAGCTTGATTTAGAGAGCTTGATTTAGAGAGCTTGATTTAGAGAGCTTGATTTAGAGAGCTTGATTTAGAGAGCTTGATCCAGAGAGCTTGATTTAGAGAGCTTGATTTAGAGAGCTTGATTTAGAGAGCTTGATTTAGGGAGCTTGATTTAGAGAGCTTGATTTAGAGAGCTTGATTTAGAGAGCTTGATTTAGAGAGCTTGATCCAGAGAGCTTGATTTAGAGAGCTTGATTTAGAGAGCTTGATTTAGAGAGCTTGATTTAGAGAGCTTGATTTAGAGAGCTTGATTTAGAGAGCTTGATCCAGAGAGCTTGATTTAGAGAGCTTGATTTAGAGAGCTTGATTTAGAGAGCTTGATTTAGAGAGCTTGATTTAGAGAGCTTGATTTAGAGAGCTTGATTTAGAGAGCTTGATTTAGAGAGCTTGATTTAGAGAGCTTGATTTAGAGAGCTTGATTTAGAGAGCTTGATCCAGAGAGCTTGATTTAGAGAGCTTGATTTAGAGAGCTTGATTTAGAGAGCTTGATCCAGAGAGCTTGATTTAGAGAGCTTGATTTAGAGAGCTTGATCCAGAGAGCTGGATTTAGAGAGCTTGATTTAGAGAGCTTGATTTAGAGAGCTTGATTTAGAGAGCTTGATCCAGAGAGCTTGATTTAGAGAGCTTGATTTAGAGAGCTTGATTTAGAGAGCTTGATTTAGAGAGCTTGATTTAGAGAGCTTGATTTAGAGAGCTTGATTTAGAGAGCTTGATCCAGAGATCTTGATCCAGAGATCTTGATCCAGAGAGCTTCATCCAGAGATCCGATCTCGAATACAGACGCTCTACAGCTCGACCACAGCCTACTAGAAACAAGGCCGCGCAGAAAGCACTATAAGATACAAACACTACTAGCAAGACCCAAAAGCCCATATTTTCAGAGGCTTAGCAAAACTTTAGACTCTTATAACTCCCACCAGAATAACATTCAGCAAAAACGGAAAGTAGATTCGGAATCAGCGTGAAATTCTGCATCAAATGGTACAAGTCGAATGTCATTTGGTCGGCTCAACCAGTTGCTCTTCCCTTGTAAGGTTTTCTGTATTGAAATACTTCTACTTTTAGCAAAATACTGAGATATTTTATACAACAAAAAGCACCCATTCAATGTTATCACAATTTGCAGCACCATTAGATGAAAAGCGTTCAGAAATTAATGAAATTATGTGATGATAGTAATCTACTAGCTGCTAATTTTGAAAAATTGGTTTTTAAATAAATTCAAAAGCTGATTGATGACCAAAGTCGACGGGAGGAGCATCAGCAAACTTGTAAACATCCGTCTAAAGAAAGTCTAGTGGAATGGCTGTGTGTACATGGCTCAAATGGCTCAAATTCGTAAACACACACTTTCTGGCGTCTTCAAGTTCACTTTTCTTTCGATACCGAAGAGAAAAGTGAAGAATTGAGTGCACCAGAAAGGCGGATTTCTAGAAAAGGCTTTCAGAAAGGAGAAAGGTTTCCAGAAAGCTTTTTTTCGACTTTTCTTACTAGATATTAGTTTTTATGTGCATTTTCACAAACCACATGTTTAACGAGACTTCCTTCTTCATCAACAGCCCATAAACTATTAGAAGCATCCACAGAGATCGCTCTGAAAAAGGATTGAACAGAATGCGGCTTTTTTAAACTTATTTCTTACATGCATAAGAAATGCGGATTTCAAAATTTTCTTCAAATTCATAAATTCGAACGATAAAAACCCTGATATCGATGAATGTTATAAACTCGATGTATGTTACGATTTGAAAGCTGTAAATCTCCTCTACAAAATAGCCTAAAACGTGTTTCAATTGATCGAAGCATTATTTGATTTACTATGAGATTTACTTACTAAAAAAACTCTTAATAATACCAGATGCTAACAAAATGACAAACTGAGTAACTATTATGCTTAAAAGGTGCTTTAGATTAAATCTAGAAAGATATTAGACTCCTCTGAGATAAGATATTAGACTCCTCTGAAAAGTAGTACCTCAATTTCACCGGCAGAGCTCTCCAATAGTTTCCCGCTGGGTTCGTGGCGGCAAGGCCTCGGAGTCTAAAAACGATCTCATTTCTTAAAAATAGATCTGAGAACTTGCAAACATTTGTTTCTTTGAGTACATTAAAACAAGAATTCAAGGATTATTTAAGTACATTGAAACTAGAATTCTTTTTATCTCGAATCTGTTTTCTGTAAATCTAAGCTCACTAAGCTTTCTGTGAATCCAAGCTCACTAGGCTTTCTGTGAGTTCAGACACACTAGGCTTTCTGTGAGTTCAGACACACTAAGCTTTCTGTGAATCTAAGCTCACTAGGCTTTCTTTGAGTCCAAGCTCACTAAGCTTTCTGTGAATCCAAGCTCACGAGGCTTTCCGTGAATCCAAGCACACTAATCTTTCCGTGAATCCAAGCACACTAATCTTTCCGTGAATCCAAACACACTAATCTTTCTGTGAGTCCAAACTCGCTAGGCTTTGTGATACGAACTGGGGAAAAGGTTTGACTTCTGTTATAAACTTGTCTTTGTAAAAAGCGCACGAGTTTGCTAGACAATGGTATGTCTACAATATGGGCTTTTGGGTCTTAGGCGCCTTCTGCGCGGCCTTGTTTCTAGTAGGCTGTGATCGAGCGGTAGAGCGTCTGTATTCGAGACCAGATCTCTGGATGAAGCTCTCTGAGTTTGCTAGACAATGGTATGTCTACAGTTTTTGTCATGCCAAGTTTTCTGAAAACAATTTCTCGAAGAACTTCAGCGTGACTACACCCCGGAAGTTGGCTACGAGTCGGTGCCAATCCGGGCACCGATTGACAAACTTCGCAAAGCGTTCAGAGAGAAATGTGCTAATGGAGAGCCCGTGTTGCACACTGTAAGTCGTGAAATTTTTCAAATTCTATTTCTAGACTTATTAGCATAAACTTTGATATATTTAATACTTTAATAATTGTCTGTCTAGGGTACTGTAGTTTCAAAGTACAAAGGAGTACTGTGATGTTTAGGAATGAGCTGAAAGGACGGTAGTCTAAAGAAGCCTATAGAAGCTTTTTTTTGGTCTCGAACCTGTACAAAGTAGCATCCGAAGCGAGTCCCCAAACCACATTATCACCCACACATAACTCGAGCATTGGTGGATCTTGGCAGCTCTGAATAGACATAGATTCTCAATAATTGATAGATAATCTAATAGGCAATCTAATAGATAATCTAATAGATAATTTAATTAAAGCGTTACCTAAAAGCTGCGCCTAGGAAAAAGCTACCGTATTCCGTTTGTCTTGGATTGTGCTTGGATTGTGCTTGGATTCACAGAAAGCTTAGTGTGCTTGGATTCACAGGAAGCTTAGTGTGCTTGGATTCACAGAAAGCTTAGTGTGCTTGGATTCACAAAAAGCCTAGTCTGTTTGGATTCACAGAAAGCCTAGTCTGTTTGGATTCACGGAAAGCTTAGTGTGCTTAGAACATTTAAGCCTTTGTAACATTTAAGCCTTTCTCTTGATGATCTTTTCCCTTTAAAAACTCAAATCACTTGGTTTCTTCAAAAAGTTAAATGGATTACGGTATTTTGGATTACGGTTACGGTAGATTACTGGGTTACGGTAGGTTTCTGGGTTACGGTAGGTTTCTGGATTACAGTAGCTTTCTGGATTACGATACCTTCTGGATTACAGTAGCTTTCTGGATTACGATACCTTCTGGATTACAGTAGCTTTCTGGATTATGGTAGCTTTCTGGTAACGGTAGGTTTCTGGATTACGGTAACTTTCTGTTAACTTCCTCGATTACGGTAACTTCCTAGTACGCAATTTTTAGGAAACCTTTATCAAGTATCTACAGTACCTCAAGCCATTTGATCCCTGTTGGTGTCAACTCGGCGACAGCACTTCTGGAGAAGATTCTAGAATTTTTGATTAGAACCTAGAAAAAGGCTTTCATTGTACAATAATAGTTAAACGAAAATTTGAACTTTTCAGAACAAAAGTAAGAGATTTACTCACCTCTTCGCACTCACACTCATCACCCAAACATAGCGACCATTTCGCGAGCATCGTACCTAAAAAATCAGTGAGTGAACTAGTGAAAATAAGACTTTAAAGTTGTTTAAAATAAGACTTGTTTGTTTTACTGTGTTATAAGTGAATAATGTGAAATAACTAATTGAAATAAATATCACCTCTTCAATCTTGACGGATTTTGGAGATTCGATGGAATGCCATTTCGATAGATCTTCATTGAAACGAGCAAAGATTTCATTTGATGCAGTGATCACCCAAAGTGAGCTCTCAGATAGACAAAAGGAAATGATTGGTTGACCTGAAAGGCTGGCTTTGGATGGCTTGAGGATTGGGCTGGCTTTAGCTGGCTTTAGCTGGCTTTAGCTGGCTTTAGCTGGCTTTAGCTGGCTTTAGCTGGCTTTAGCTGGCTTTAGCTGGCTTTAGCTGGCTTTAGCTGGCTTTAGCTGGCTTTAGCTGGCTTTAGCTGGCTTTAGCTGGCTTTAGCTGGCTTTAGCTGGCTTTAGCTGGCTTTAGCTGGCTTTTAGCTGGCTTTAGCTGGCTTTAGCTGGCTTTAGCTGGCTTTAGCTGGCTTTAGCTGGCTTTAGCTGGCTTTAGCTGGCTTTAGCTGGCTTTAGCTGGCTTTAGCTGGCTTTAGCTGGCTTTAGCTGGCTAATGACTGGAAAACTTGGTTGGCTAATGATTTTGAAGAAAGATTTAAGGTTAAATTTGTTACCAGTTTTGAAATAGATCCAAAACTGGCTAAGTTGGTTGGTTGTTGGTTGGTTATTACCATTTTGGCTGTTACCATTGGTTCCTTGGTTGTTACCATTTTGTCTGTGTTGTCTAGCGTTACCGTCTAGCGTAACCAGTAAATTTTACAGTAACCCGTGTAACTTAGCATCAACTAGAGAACAAAAAATAAAATCTGAGAAGGTTACGGTAGCTGGGGAAAGCTTTAAAGCATTCGCTCGACTGATTCAAACCTTTTATATCCACTTGATTCCATTGTGTTTCCGAGACTCCACCATTAAGCAATCTCTTCTCGAAAAGACTCCCAGAACTATCCAATAACATTAAACTATTAGGCACAGCTTGTAGAGAGATTATCTAAAGTTTTCATTGAGTTTCGATCAATACTTATTTATGATAGCCCTTTACCGTGCTCGTTTGTCCATCTGATATCGGTAACATGTGAGTCGAGAAGATTTTCTTCGTTGGCTTGAACCCGAACAACTCGCTGTTCGGTCGGCACGCGAAGATTCCATCTTAAGTAAAAAATTCAGCGCCAAAAAGGATGTGTTTTTGAGCATGTACACTCATAGAGGGTACTTTCTTGAAAATCGTCTTACTCTACTTGATACGCCGACTCGAATAGGAGACTCAGCTACTGTAACCTTCAGCTACTGTAACCTTCAGCTACTGTAACCTTCAGCTACCGTAACCCTCAGCTACCATAACCCTCAGCTACCATAACCCTTAGCCCTTAGTTAGCAGTAAGCTAAGGGCTACGTAATGATTACTGTGACGTCAAGGCTACGGTAGTTATGACATGCTTTGTCTATCCAATTACGACAAAGCAAATGTACCAGAAAGGGTGTATTTAAGTTCCCGAGCACAAAGTACACCGTTTCCTTACTTGATTGCTCATCAATGAAAGCTCCAGCGGTGAGCATCGTGAAACGATCATAATGACGGATTTTTGCCGGGACAACGAGAGTGAATCTAGAATAAAATCACCAGATTGAATACAGGGCCCGGTTTCATCACCGCTAAGTCAGTGACTTAAAATGCTTAAGTCACTACCACCAATTTAGGACACTGACTTAGAGTGACTTAGCTAAGTCACCATTTCACCACCACTTTAGGACACTGACTTAAATTTTCCGATAAGTCATTGACTTAGCGCTACTATGGAAAGCGCTAAGTTAGCTAGGAGGCTTCTTCTAGAGATGACTTGGCGGAGATTATGTCTTGTCTTCACCGCAAAACAACAACAGCTTGATAAAAGAAGTCCTCAGCAATCCTCCTTCAAATCAGCTGCTTGAATTCATTTAATATCGTCGAACCAAATTTGTAGAGAAAAGGAACCAAGTCTGCTGCCGAATCGCATCGTTCTCTCAGTGCTACTTTCGGAGATGGCAGTTTGTCTCTCAGGCAGTGTCAGACTTGGTTTCAACGATTCCGAGAGGGAGACTTTGGAAGATCACGAGCACGGTTCGAGGCGTTGGGTTCGGCCAGAAGTCGTGAACGAAGCCAAGCTGAGGGACGTTATTCAGGCCGACGGCTCGAGCAGATCCATGTCAATCTGCTCGAGATCTTGCGAAAATATTCCAGCGTGATCATGTCACCATCGAAAGCCATCTTTTTTTAAAATTTACTATCAAATCGGCAGTTTCTTTTGCACCACCCTAATATTTTGGAGATCGTCCGTCTTTTGAAGAAACAACTTTTGATGATGGCGTATCACTAGCTTTTAATGAAGGCGTAGAATAACCAACCAACCAACATCATCTTTTTTGGAGCTTTCTGAGCTTTTTTGGAGCTTTTTAAGCTTTTCTGGGGCATTTTGGAGCTTTCTAAGCTTTTTTGGAGCTTTCTAAGCTTTTTTGGAGCTTTTTAAGCTTTTCTGGAGCGTTTTGGAGCTTTCTAGGCTTTTTGGAGCTTTTTTGGAGCTTTCCAAGCTTTTTTGGAGCTTTTTGGAGCTTTTTAAGCTTTTCTGGAGCGTTTTGGCGCTTTCTAGGCTTTTTGGAGCTTTCTAAGCTTTTTTTGGAGCTTTCCAAGCTTTTTAACCCATATTTTCATGCGATCTATTATCGAATTCATCCATATTGATCGATCCATCGTCTGAATCGAGTGCAAAGGCAATTCCCCTCACCGTTTCTTCATTCCCAACGATTTTTGCAATTGGCTCGAGCTAGCTGAGAAGTGGCAATTCCAATTGGCATTTGGGGTTGGCAATTCCAATCCTGGTCCATCACCCGTTGCACAGAGATTCTTCTTTGCTGACTGACTTTGCTGACAATGGTGGTGAAATGGTGTCTGATCTTTTCTGCCACCTCTCCCCAAGTCACTGACTTAAAATGGTGGTGAAATTGGGCCCTGATTAATTAAAGATTAAACTAAAACTGTTAAATTGATCTTACTATTAAATATCTCAATATACCGATGTCCTGAAACAGCAACTCGTGAACAAAAGAGTTTTCTCCCGGCCGAGATGAAGAGTCCCTTTTGCGAGGCGGTCATTCTCCTGAAAAATGTATCGATTGACCAATAAGAAACTTAAAACACAATCAGGAATTAGCTAGTAACATCAAGAATTAGCTAACAACATTAAAAATTTGTTATTACTGGAAAATAGAGTCTGATTGGACTTCTAATCCTAAGAAAATGAAGAGACAAGATCGTATTTTTCCAACGATTCCAATTTGTACCAGAACTACAATAAAACAATGGAAAAAAACCTCTCAAACATCTTAAACCCTAGTATTTCCCTCTCTTCCTTTCTTTCTTCCTTCCTTCCTTCCTTCCTTCCTTGCTTCTTTATGTCCTTCCTTCCTTCTTTCCGTCCTTCCTTGCTTCTTTCCGTCCTTTCTTCCTTCTTTCCGTCCTTCCTTTCTTCCTTCCTCTCTTCCTTTCTTCTAAGCTTTGATCTCTTCAATGACTACAGCTAATCTTTCACTTCATTGTTTAAAAACTAGCCGAGACACTCAAGGTTGAAACTGAGCTAAAAAATCAACCACTCAACTTTCATTTGTTATCATTTGAAAGCTTTCTCTCAGCTAATCCCCCGCCTGGACCTCCAATGCTGCCAGAAGACAGATCAGAAGCTATATTTTTACAATTTAACTATAAATTTAACAATTTTTGCTACAAATTCCCGTTAAATCAATTTATTACTCAAATAGTAACGAAATTGAGAGGACAAAACAATTGAGAGAACGATTGAGAGAACAATTCGATTTGAATTGTGAGTTTTGTCTATCGATTCTCTGAGAATACGTTAAACCACTCAACTTTCATTTGTTATCGATTGAAAGCTTTCCCATTCGCTTACCATTCACTTACCATTCACTAGGCGCTGGTATCTTTGATCGTTTCTCTAGCGGTGTGCAAACTCGCATGAAACCGTCGGCATTTCCGTATGGATGATGTTCGTCGACTCCTTTTGTCATCCACAAACCGCCTAATATCGTAAAAGTTATTGATTTATCAGTCTATACTTTCAAAGTCTCCCCTAAAGCCCTAAAGCTCTAGTTAAAGCTCTAGTTGAAGCTCTAGCTCTAGCTCTAGCTCTAGTTAAAGCTCTAGCTCTAATCTTTTAATTTCATCCAAGAAATTCAAACAATTAGGGCAGCTATGAAAGCTATGAAGCCCTTTTCTGTGTAGATTTTTTGTAGCTGCCCTTTTTGTAGCTGCCCTTTTTGTAGCTGCCCCTTTTTGTAGCTGCCCTTTTTGTAGCTGCCCTTTTTGTAGCTGCCCTTTTTGTAGCTGCCCTTTTTGTAGCTGCCCTTTTTGTAGCTGCCCTTTTTGTAGCTGCCCTTTTTGTAGCTACCCTTTTTGTAGCTGCCCCTTTTTGTAGCTGCCCCTTTTTGTAGCTGCCCCTTTTTGTAGCTGCCCCTTTTTGTAGCTGCCCTTTTTGTAGCTGCCTAGCTGCCCTTTTTGTAGCTGCCTTTTTGTAGCCGCCCTTTTTGTAGCTGCCTAGCTGCCCTTTTTATAGCTGCCCTTTTTGTAGCTGCCTTTTTCGTAGCTGCCCCTTTTGTTTGAAATTCCCCAAGAAATCAGAAGATATTCAGCTGAGTGGGCAAGGGAAACACTTTGAAAGTATAATGGTATTCAATTAAAGTGAATAAATAAGTTGTGGATAGAGTTAGAACGAATTCAGAGTCAGCGTCAGCCTTACCATGCTCATCTAGAAGAAATCCGGTGGTGTCCACGAGTTTCGCCCACAAAAAACGCCCGCCCAAATCCAAGCTAAAGGGAGCCAAAGTAGTAGAATTTATTCGTTGTGCTCAAATGTGTAAACACACTCTTTATGGCGCACTAGATTCTGCATTTTCACCGACATTTTCACAATTCGAAGAATCAAGTGCACCAGAAAGCGTTTACCAATACCAATAAAACAAAGTCGTTCTGGTGTATCAGATTTTTATAAGAAAGCTATGTTTATTGAAAATCAAGTCTCTTACTTAACATCAACCCAATCGTATCCCATTCGGCACCGATTGATCCCAACTCGAACCATCAATGTTCCAGTGTCTTCCCGGATTGCCCACACCGCTTTACGCGTAGCGGTAAGGCTTCTAAAATTGAGAGGATTGATTTCATTTGCATTGAAAAGTTTATGCAAGTTTATGCAATCACTACTATATATATATAAAAAGAAGTGTCTGTCTGTCTGTCTGTCTGTCTGCCCATCTGTCTGTCCGTTTGTCTGTCCGTTTGTCTGTCTGTTTGTCCATCCGTCTGTCTGTCTATTCGCGAGTTCTCGGCTCCCCGTGAGTCCATTTACATGATTTTCAAGTTCTTAGGCTCGTGTTAAAAACAGAAATTTTGCCTTGAAGTCACTTCGAAAATAAGCCATTTCAGCAGAACAGAGCTCCACATAAAGCTTGAGAAACACAAAGATTGGCTCGCCGAGTATTTTCCTCATTGGATCACAGTTGATATACTACCTATTGTCAGCTTGGTCACCTAATGTCGCGTCACCTATTCGCTGGGAATCTGTAGTTACATTTAAGTACGATGAAAGCGATTTCTTTAGAGCGAAAGAGAGAAGCCTTGCGAGAAGCTGGGAAATCAATCTCTCAATTGGCCCGTTCTGTTCAAACTTGTTCTGATCACTTGTTCAAACTCTCCAATGAAACGATTTGAACGATTTTACGAACAAAAACAAAGACTTTGAAGGGAATCAATGATGGAACAAAAAGGAACGAAATCTTTTTCGAGGAGGGAAACACAAGCTGATCAAGATCAAGAAGCCATTGATCAAGAAGCGGTTGATCAAGAAGCCGTTGATCAAGAAGCCGTTGTTTCTTGGATTCGAGATGCGAGAAGCGAAAATGCATCGCTTAATGGACCTCAAGGAAAAGACTTGACTTAATAGACTTAATAGACTTAATAGACTTAATAGACTTAATAGACGACTTAATAGACCTCTTGAATTTGCTAGAATATATTGGAGTCTCCGGAAGTGACATAAGCATCCGAAGCTTTTGACCATTTTGTAACGATTCTAACGAGATAGTCTTAACAGTCTTAGAGATAGTCTTAACAGTCTTAGAGATAGCCTTAATAGTCTTAGAGATAGTCTTAACAGATCAGTCAATTATGAAAGTTTAGTGGATAAAGCTATAAGCTTTAGTGGATAAAGCTAATCGACAGTTCGATTAAAGTCACCTGATCTTTGCTTCACCCTCCGTCTCATAAAGGAAACCCTCTTCGGGGAGCTCCATTTGAAGAGAGATCTGAAAAAGGTTGCAATTAAAGAGAGATCTGAAAAAAGGTTGCAATTAAAGAGAGCCTAGTGTTTCTATGTTCTTATTGTCCTAACGCTTTATCCACTTTATCCGCTTTATTCGCTTTATTCGCTTTATTCGCTTTATTCGCTTTATCCATTTCTAACTTCGAAAACTAGCTTGTCTAGCTTGTCTAGATTGTCTAGCTTGTCTAGCTTGTCTAGCTTGTCTAGCTTGTCTAGCAACTCAGCTTGTCAACTCAGCTTCTCTGTCAATCTATCAACTATTCTTGTCTGTATTCTATCCATCTATCTATATCCTATCCATCTATCTATATCCATATCTATCCAGTCTATCCATTTTCTGATTCAAAAAGGATATCAAAAGCCTCAAGCTTGATCTACAAGATCTCTAGCTTGATCTACAAGATCTCTAGCTTGATCTACATGATCTCTAGCCTGATTGAATGAAAACTAGAGACAAAACTAGAGACAATATTAAAGTAGTTAAAAAGAAATCCATTAAGAAAGAGATTGTTTAAGAAGAAGCACTCTGTTTAAGAAGAAGCAGAAGAAGCACTATCCAACAAAGATCATACTGTATCCGCTGTATCAAAGTCTTTACTTTAGTTGAAGACTACTGTAACTGTATCACTATTTACTGTCAAATACCGTACTCAAGAATCCATTCAAATGGCAATTACCCGATTATCTCTCCCATACCAAGCATCTTTTGCAGCCAACGCACACCCTGAGACACCATTGCTACAGCTTTCCACCTGAAATCAAATCAAAACTGAAACCAATCAAATCAAAAGATCAAAATTTGATCAATGCACATGCAAAATTTGTATAAAATCAAGATTAGAAAAATGCCCAAGGAACACTTACTTTGCTTTGATTCATTGAACTTTTCATTATCTAGATTGGTGATGGTTTAGAGAAGCTGTAAAAGATTCTCTTAGACTATCTGTCTTAGACTCTTAGACTTAGACTAGACTAGATTCTCTTACACTCATTACAGTATACCGGATTGGCTAAAGATATTCAGTTAAAGCGAATGGCAAATGTAAATCTTTGGTGAATGTCTTAAGTAAGTCTTAAGTCTTAAAGAAGTCTTCAGCCTTGTCTTCAGCCTTAAGTCTTCAGCCTTGTCTTCAGTCTTAAGTCTTCAGCCTTAAGTCTTCAGCCTTAAGTCTTCAGCCTTAAGTCTTCAGGCTTGTCTTCAGCCTTAAGTCTTCAGGCTTGTCTTCAGCCTTAAGTCTTCAGGCTTGTCTTCAGCCTTAAGTCTTCAGGCTTGTCTTCAGCCTTAAGTCTTCAGCCTTGTCTTCAGTCTTAAGTCTTCAGCCTTAAGTCTTCAGCCTTAAGTCTTCAGGCTTGTCTTCAGCCTTAAGTCTTCAGGCTTGTCTTCAGCCTTGTCTTAAGGCTTAAGTAAAAGTACTGTAAGATTAGCTTCGAAAAGTTGAAAAGATCTTCGGCTATCGGTTGAGTACTTTTCTAGCGTAATAGTAATAATAAATAGATGTTAAAGATATAAATAGATTTGAAAGTCTTGAGTGGTTTGGATAATTCTAATTATAAGAATAACTCACCGGAATCCAGGAAACTGTAGGTGAGAGTGCTGTGCACATTTTGGGCACTCCTTTCTTGATTCGCCAGATCAGCGAGCCGTCCTCTGGAAAAAGATTCATTTCCACAACTGTTCAAAGCTTAAACCCACCCTCTCTAGTGCACTCAATTCTTCAATTCCAATGGAGAATTGGAGAATTGGAGAATTGGGAATTAAGCGCATCAGATAGGGTATGTTTACAAATGTTTACAAATGTTGTTACTGAATAAATAGAAGTGTTAAAGTTAAACCATTTGTCTCCAGTTGATCGGCCATGAAATTAGCATTTATCCATTCGAGTCTCTTCTTCGTATTCAAATCCTCGATTGGTGCCCATTTTGGGTGTTTTTTCCGATGACACATCAAGAGATGGGTCTTGTTCGCCGAGAGTGATGAGGGGGTGAATGGGAGTTGGATCTGGAGATGATAAGAGGATTTCAAACTCTATAGAGAACTCTATTAGTATTTGATAGGATAAGATAAGATGCGTATTTGATACGATAAGATAGGTATTTGGTATCGGATACACTGTCTGAATAGTAGCGATAATAACGGGACGATAATAGGACGGATTGGACGAATAGGACGAATAATAACGATAAGCTAAATACTCACCTTGACTGCTAGATCTAGGCTAACTAGAGGGTGTTCAGTATTTACGGTGGTTTTTTTAGATAGGTAGATTGTGGACGTAAGTGGAGTGCCCCACGCTAATGCCCCACGCAAATGCCCCACGCAAATGCCCGACGCAAATGCCCCACTGGACCCATTGGACCCATTGGACCCCACTGGACCCCACTGGATCCCACTGGACCCCACTGGGCCCCACTGGACCCCATTGGACCCCACTGGACCCCACTGGACAATGAAATATCATATTTGAAAGAAAAGAGCTTTTAGAAAATGTATAACACTAATTGCTTAAACTCAAAGACAAGGGAGTTACAGGCGGTGAGATACAACTCATTTTGCAAGCCCTTCAATAACTACTAGTTGATCCCTCCCCGCTGCCATCTTTGGCGATTTTCATTATAAGAAATTGTCAGATATGGTTTTCGATATTTATTTTATGTTAAAATAGTATTTAACATCATTTAATAACATTAAGAACTGTTTTTAATCGATTCGTTTTACTCAAAATATCGAAAAACTTAGTTGAAATCAGGTTCCTTTGGAAGAAGTGGAAAATTGTTTTCAAAATTGCTTTCAAAATGATTTCAAAGGCTTATAAAATGAGTTTTGTATCTCCAATGGGGAAACTTTTCATAGAGAAATCTAGCCAAGATTAAGGGCTTCATTATTGTCGATAACACTTAACAAATTCGGGTTGAACTTCGTTAAACTTGGCGCTTTGGAGCTAATCTATCAATGAGCAAAAGAAACGGTGATCAATCGAGTCTAATCTATCAACGACAAAAGAAACGGTGATCAATCGAGTCTAATCTATCAACTGCCAAGTCAATCTATCAACTACCAAGTCAATCTATCAACTACCAAGTCAATCTATCAACTACCAAGTCAATCTATCAACTACCAAGTCAATCTATCAACTACCAAGTCAATCTATCAACTACCAAGTCAATCTATCAACTACCAAGTCAATCTATCAACAACAAAAGGAAAGATGATCAAACGAGGCTTTCATGAAAGTCAAATTCAATCCAAAGTACATGAAAAGACATGAAAAGACAATTAAAGAGTCAAAATCGATATTTCATAGAGATTACCTCATTCCAAATATCCACCAAGTCATTCACCACAACCGCTTTCTCAAGTTTCTCCTTTTGCAGAGCGAGTTTCTTCGGTGAATCGTCTGCTGGGATTTCCAGTGAAACAGTAGTCTGAATGAAGAAGAATATTAGAATCCGGGTCACAAACAAGCCAGGACAAGGCCAGGACTCGTCAAAAACAGGCCAGGACCAGACCAGGATCAGTCAAAAACAAGCCAGGACCAGGCCAGGATCAGTCAAAACCAGGGACAAGCAGGTTCTGGACCTGGCTTTGCTGTAAATCTGGAGGCTTGGAGCCTTGTCCAAGCTTGTCCAAAAGCCCTAGCTTCTGCCCAGTCTGGCTTGTGCCCAGTCTGGCTTACAGAAAAGCAAGTGTTTGATAGAATTGGTTTAAGGTTAAAGTGTCATAAACCTGTGAATCCGTGCTTCCAGATGGGACAGCTGTCCTCTCCAAGATCAATTTCAATGCTTTCTCTTCATCCAATTCTTCATCTTCTTCACTTTCTGCTCCAAGTCGACTTTTCTCGTCTTCTGTTGTCGATGAAGAAGCTGGGCTGAAATTGCTGTTAATAGTTTAGACCTTGAGTCATACTGTTCTATTCTATTATTCTATTATTCTATAGTATGCAAATTCTTGATTGACTGAAGCTTGGGCTTATTGTGCAGTGCTGCTGCTTTATCTGCAGTGCTGCTGCTTTATCTGCTGTGCTGCAGATAAAGTCCAACTATCCAACTACTGTTTTGTCCCTCTAAAAGAATAAAGAGTAAGTTAGTTGTCATCAGAATCTATTATTCAATTCTAACCTGATCAAATCCTTTCTTCGTTGTGCTAATGGTGAGGGTTGGAAAGATTTTGGTGAAGAAGAGAAAAGATGAGATGAGCGATCAGGGGAATGCCTTCTTCCAGTGCCGAGCTGGGCCACAACTGAAAGTTTTTCGTTTGATTGGATTTGATGGCTTCGGTTTTATTTTTTAGCCCAATCTACACCGACCGTTATTCAATTAAGCCAATTGTGCTGAGGTTATGGTAACCTTTTCTTAGATGGCAAAAGGGGCGGGGCGCGTATAAAAGGTGGGACATCCCGCCCCTTTGCCATTGGCTTAACTTCAAGCTCAAATATCTTGGTGTTGGGCTGTCTAATTCAAATAGTTTTTATACCAATCAATAGAGAAAGACTTGGCGCATCGAATGGTATCAAGAATGTTTTAATTGAACAACCCAACACGAAGTTTGAGTTTAAAGTTGGATTGCCAATGGCAAAAGGGGCGGGGCTTGTATCAAGTGTCCCAAATTGTCATCAACTTACCCATTCGAACATTTCTCAGCCTCACTTCTTCATCGTTGCTTTGTGGAGAATGCTGAAAAGTGTGATAAGTGTACTTTATGCTCAATTTGTAAACAAACCCTTCCTGGGGCACTCATCTATTCTCTAGATATAAACACACCCTTCCTGGGGCACTCATCTATTCTTTAGATGTAAACACACCCTTCCTGGGGCACTCATCTATTCATTGGTGCATTTTAGCCATTTCCTAGCTCAATTTCCAGTTTGGAACTTTTCTGACTCAAATTTTGACCTCACATTAGAAAATGGAAAACAAATCACACCAGAAAGAAGGTGTTTACAAAAACTGAGTCCAAAGTACACTCAGAAATTCTGTTAGAATAGTACAGAGTACAAAGTACACTTAGAAATTCTGTTAGAATAGTACAGAGTACAAAGTACACTTAGAAATTCTGTTAGAATAGTACAGAGTACAAAGTACACTTAGAAATTCTGTTAGAATAGTACAGAGTACAAAGTACACTTAGAGATTCTGCTAGAATAGTGATGCTTACAAAAATAGCTCTCAAATTGCGGCGTACTGTAACGAGGTCGCAAAAGAGGACTCAGCAAAAGTTACGGTATCCGGTGGTTCTTTGTAGAACACAGCTTTCACTAGATACTATATTCACTTGAAAAGCTAACAAATTAAAGCTAATAAAGCTAGAATAAAGCTAGAATAAAGCCAGATTTGCCCCCTTCAAACCTGCTGATTTATCTCATCCGATTGCACAGATCCCTCACTTCCATCAATCGATCGTCTCCTTTCTTTTCTTTTTCTTTTTTGTATTCCGCGCTCTTTTCTCACCACTGACACTGCGTTTTCTTGAGATACATCTTCAGCGACTTCTGGAAATTGCTTTAGAACTGGATAGACCTTTCATAAGTCATGCTAAAAGTTAAGTTCTTATTTCACCCACCGATTTCATCCATTTTCCCCTTGCACACCATCGATCCAGCCGGGATTTCCCCTTCTTCAGCCTAAAATCTTTCATTTAATCGATAATGCTAAAGGTGGTTACTCCAAAATTCGAGTTGTCGACATGTTTCCTCATATTGTCAAGCAGTTGATTGAGTGATGGAGTGATTCGCGTTGAGATCGCGTCCATTCCACGTGATGCAACATCTGCAAAGGAAGACAAAAATACTCTTTTGTACTTAGATTTTAAACATAGACTTTGAATTGACTAATTTGGAAGGGAACCGAATGGGAACAAATGGGAACCAGATAGAAACCGAATAGGAACCGAATGAAAACCGAATGGGAACTGAATGGGAGCTGAATAGAAACCGAATGGAACCCGAAAAGGATCCGAAGAGAAACCAAATCGGAACCGAATAGGAACCAAAAGAGGACCGAATGAGAACCAAATGGGAACCAAATCGAAACCAAATAGGAACCAAATGAGAAGCGAATGAGAACCAAATGGGAACCGAATGGAAACCAAATAGAAACGGAATGGGAACCAAATCGAAACCAAATAGAAACCAAATAGGAACCAAATGAGAACCGAATGAGAACTAAATGGGAACCAAATCGAAACCAAATAGGAACCAAATGGGAACCGAATGGGAACCGAATAGAAACCAAATGGGAACCAAATGGGAACTGAATGAGAACCAAATAGAAACCGAATAGGAACCAAAAGAGGACCGAATGAGAACCAAATGGGAACCAAATAGAAACCAAATAGGAACCAAATGGGAACTGAATAGGAACTGAATAGGAACCGAATGGGAACCGAATAGAAACCAAATAAGAACCAAATGGGAACCGAATAGGAACCGAATGAAAACCGAATGGTAACCAAATAGAAACCGAATAGGAACCAAATAGGAACCAAATGAGAACCGAATGAGAACTAAATGGGAACCAAATCGAAACCAAATCGAAACCAAATAGAAACCGAATAAGAACCGAATGGGATTTTTTTGTTTTTAGATACACCGTAGCTTGAAACTCTAGCTATAGTATATCTAATTGCAAATAGCTACAATATCCGCCTTTCAAGAACACTAACCCTCAATCGTTTCCCTAACTGTTGCATCTTTTGATGGCCGCATTTTTCCCAAAAGCGTTGAAGTCGAATCAACTATTGAGGAAAGACTCGGTCCAATTGAATCTAAATTAGTTAAATATTTTAGTGAAAATTTGCATACCATCTATTTGCATCCCATCTATTTGCATTTCTTGAAACGTCGTGACTTTTCTTGTGCTGATTCTTAGCAAATCTCGATTGTGATGCAATAAAAAGAGCTCTTTGTCAAAATAGGAAGCGTCTTTGATCTAAAAATAGAGTAAATTTACAGAAAACGAAAATTTTGCTTACTTTTAAATCCCCTAGATAGAAAGCCATTTCGACAGTGATTTCAGTGTTCATTCGCAACAATAAAAGCTGATTCAGATTCGTTGAAAGGCAACAATGTGACTCGGAATATGTTAGCCATCTGAAATAGATTCAGAATTGAATTGAAATGAATTTAATTGAAATTTAGACTTTCTCGGGTTTCGAAAAGATCCACTTTAGAAAGGGATACCGTTTTTTTTAGTGAAAGAGCTAAATTAAGCATTTTAAACGACTTAAACACTGGGTAAAATGTGCCAAAGCCCGTGTTTCAGTTTGAGTACGGTAGCCAGGATTGAGTACGGTAGCCAGTACGATAGCCCACCTTTTATACGCGCCCCGCCCTTTGCCATTGGCAATTCAACTTTGAACTCAAATATCTTGGTGTTGGGTTGTTCAGTTCAAACATTCTTGGTATCATTCGATGCGCCAAGTCTTTCTCTATCGAATGGTATCAAAACTATTTTGATTGGACAACCCAAAGCCAAGATATTTAAGCTTTAAAGTTGAGCCAATGGCAAAAGGGGCGGGGCGCGTATGTTCCACCTTTTATACGCGCCCCGACCCTTTGCCTAGTGAAGTGCAATCTACACCGACCGTTATTCAATTAAGCCAATTGTGCTGAGGTTATGGTAACCTTTTCTTAGATGGCAAAAGGATCGGGCCGCGTATAAAAGGTGGGACATACGCGCCCCGCCGCTTTCCCATTGGCTCAACTTCAAGCTTAAATATCTTGGCTTTGGGTTGTTCAATTTAAATAGTTTTGATACCATTCGATAGAGAAAGACTTGGCGCATCTAATGATACCAAGAATGTTTGAATTGAACAACCCAAAGCCAAGATATTTGAGCTTAAAGTTAGAGTGCCAATGGCAAAAAGGGGCAGGGCGCGTTGGTCCCAGCTTTTATGGCTTTGGGCTGTTCAATTAAAACAATTTTTATACCAATCGATAGAGAAAGACTTGGCGCATCGAATGATACCAAGAATGTTTGAACTGAACAACCCAGCACGAAGATATTTGAGTTCAAAGTTGGATTCTTAGAAATTTTTACAAGTTAAGTTAAATTTTACCTCAAAGTCGACGGTTTCTCAAAGCCGGCACTCATCACTTGACCGTTGATCGAAATCTCGGCAATGAAATGTCTTTTCATTTCTTCTAAGAGATCAAAAATCCTCATCGGCGTCGCTAAGTTTTCCTTTTTGTAGAGGAAAACACGGAAATCTTCGTGTAACAGGCAAAATGTCTCCTCGTTTAGCCAAGCGACACCGATCACTTGAGAAGAGTTGCTAAATATGAAAATAGTTTGAAAAAGCTTTGTTGTAACGAGAAAATGTTGTTAGATAAGGCAATGTCTGGCATGGATCAAAGCGTGTAGTTTCTCAATTGAATCTTGGGCGAGAGGTAGGCCCGGGGGGGGGCCGGGTTGGGGGTGGGGGGGCTGGTGTTTTTTAAGCGGAGAAGGCCGAGGGTTCAATCACTCTGGCAAAGATAAAAATGTTTCTTTTTCCCACCAAGTGGGTTTTTTCTTTCACAACATTTGGGTAATAGGGGTAAATAGGGGTGAGAACGGCCGCAGTGCCATAAAATTGTGTGTTTAACCTTTATGTCTTATTATGTACCCTTTGTTTGTATCACATTATTGGTTTTCAATAAATGTATTTTTTTTTTTTAAAAAAGAATCACTCAATTGAATCACAATTGAATCACTTTACCTCTCTCAAATTTGGGTAATTAAACCGAATCTATAAGAAGCAATAAAAGAAGAGAGCAATAACCAATTCAGAATGATTTAAGCTTTTATAGACTAATAATTTGAACGATATAGAATGAGCAAAATGAGGAAATGAACTGTTTTATGGTTTACGAGGCTTCTTTTATTGCACTATATATATGTCGTAGCCGATTTTGAATTAAAATTTTTTTTAACTATTTTTTTTGGGGCGAAAATGAAATTTTTGTCTAGGTCGGCCTAGTTCTAGGTCTAGGTCTAGTCAGGTCTAGTCGGTCTAGGTCAAGGTCTAGGTCTAGGTCTAGGTCTAGGTCTAGCTAGGTCTAGGGTCTAGGCGGGGCCAAGGTCTGCGGTCTAGGTCTAGGCCGGTCCAAGGTCGCAGGTCTAGGTCTAGGTCAATAGGTCCAGGTCCAAAGTCAGAGGTCTAGGTCAATAGGTCTAGGTCTAGGTCTGTCTGGGTCTAGTCTGCCTTTTTAAAGTATTAGGAAAAAAGGGTAAATTTATTTAATGTCCAACCACAATAGGAGTAAATAACCCAAAACCAGAGAAAATGAATTAAAATAATAAATTTTTTAAGTTGAGAAAAAGGGTAAAAAAGAGAAAAAAAAGAAAAAAAAATGGAAAAAAAAGGAAGAACAAGAAATTCAAATATATTTATTAAAAAAAAAAAAACAAAAAAAAAAAAAAAAAAAATGAATTTGAATTGAATGATTAAAAAATACGGAGGGAGGAGGGACGAAAAAACCACAAAAATAAAAACAAATGTCTGTCTGTCTGTCTATACGCTCGAGTTCTCCGCTTCCCGTGAGCCGATTTAAATCATTTTTAGTTTCTTAGACTTAGACTCTTAGAGTTTTTTAAAAAGCAAAAGTTATGTCACAGCCGGGAGTCGAACCTGGGCGACCAGGCCGCTCTCGGCTCGTAACCAAGCGGGCTCCCGACTGCTCCACGCCGACTATCCGTTTCCCCAAAACATTCAGCCAATAAAATCCCCCGTTAGGCATTTTTCGGCTGCTAACTGAATAAGTTTTAGTTATCGAAATGCTTGTTTACGGTAGTTTAAGCATTGTTTAGAATTGGCTAAGCATTTGCATTAATTTGGTGATAGTTATGATAAAAGTTTTTCATAATCTTTCAAGAAATTCAATTTATAGCTATTTAGGAGCTTTTGTAGCTTTTATAAGGATTTATACCAAGTTTGTTCCCCGACAAGTGTCACTTCAGCCGACTCGAGCACAACAAGACTGCACTGGTTGCTCTCACAGCAGATTAGTGCCTAAATTACTTGCATTTGTACTTGTCGTTCGTTTTTTAAGTGTCGTTTTCTAAAAGGTGAATAATTTGGCGACTATCGTAATCTTTCCTTCAGCTCTTTCCTTCAACTCTTTCCTTCAACTCTTTCCTTCAGCTCTTCCTTCAGCTCCCAGCCTTCCCAGCCCCTTCAGCTCTTCCCAGCTCTTCCCAGCCCTTCAGCTCTTTCCTTCAGCTCTTTCCTTCAGCTCTTTCCTTCAGCTCTTTCCTTCAGCTCTTTCCTTCAGCTCTTTCTTTCTTTCCTTTTTCCACCTTTTAGAAAGCGTGTTATAAGTTCGAATTTTAGCTTTAGCTGTAGCTTTATTTCACCTGATGCTCGGAAAGATCAATCGATCGAATTGCTGAAGGAATGGTGTCACAAAAGAGAAATGAATGAGTGTAGGATTTCTAAATTACATTATTTAAGTTAAGTTAAGTTCACTTTTCGAGTTTCGAGTCTTTTAAGCTTATTTATAAAGTCTATCTTGTGCTTAGAAAGTCTACCTTGTGAAAATCGACATTTGTTAGAATAGCGATTCCTGATTCATCGGATGAGACAAGCTTTGTGCAATCTTTCGTCGACCAGATCACTTGTCGCAAAGCGGAACCCCGGTGCTGATCTCGATCCGTGTATTGGTCAATCTGGAAATCGATATTGTGGATTTGTCTAGCGATAATTATAAATGGTTTATTATCTATTATTATCTCTATTATTTATTCTCGATTATTATTAACGATCTCGATCTCCATAAAGCTGAAATTTTACACTACGCACAAAAGGATTTCAAAAATTTAGACAATCAAATTTAGACATTTCAACAAGACTCCGGTTATCTAGGGGGCTTAAAATAGTTTGGAAGGTTGCTATTTAGGAGACAAGGACTCAAAGGAAGTTTTCTCCTTTAGATATTTCAAAGCTACGAACATTTTTTCACTAGGATGACCCACAAAGCCTGTGGCTGCCGCTCTGGCTGCCGCTCTGGCTGACGCTCTGGCTACCGCTCTAGCTGCCGCTCTGGCTCCCGCTCTAGCTGCCGCTCTAGCTACTGCTCTAGCTACCGCTCTAGCTACCGCTCTAGCTACCGCTCTGGCTGACGCTCTGGCTGTGTTATCACAAAAACCCAACTATCATCCCGAAAACTAAAAACGGATTCTAAATTCTTTCCTAACGTTCTTGTTAGTGTTTAGTTGTTAGTTGTTGGAAGCCGTTCTTTCCTAACGTCTTCCTATTATTGTTTATTGTCAGCTATTATTGTTTTTCTGAAAGAGGATCAAATTCAGCTAAACGAATCATTATTCTGACCTTTTTACTTTTCCCAGTTTGTAGATGAATGAGAAAGAGCAAGCCCGAGTGATGGCCGACAGCGATTTGATTGCCGAGAACGGAGAGACAAGAGATCGTATCCGTTGAAGAGGTTCGAATTCTGGAAGAAGATTTAGATTTGACTTGATCTTTGACGAAACTGTTTGTATAGTTTTGCGTCGAATCGGGTGAAGATGAAGATCACTCCACAACTCGCGCCCACCACAAGCCAGTCATTCGTCACGGAAACGGTCAAGATTTCCACATTCACTGTGCCAAAGTCCAAAGTTGTTGGAAGCTATAAGTTGTACTGTAATGTACTTGTACTGTAATGTACTTGTACTGTAATGTACTTGTACTGTAATGTACTTGTACTGTAATGTACTTGTACTGTAATGTACTTGTACTGTAATGTACTTGTACTGTAATGTACTTGTACTGTAATGTACTTGTACTGTATTGCCTTTAGCAGACTGACAATGATCAGAAGTGAGATTTCGGCACCTCAGCCCTCCATTTTTACGACCCTGGTTCGACCCTAGCGCCATTTTTTTTTGCTTTTCTATTTCTTTCAAGAACTATAGAACTTTTAAACTTGAATTTTCCCCCAACAATTTTATTCATTAATCCAAAAGCCATTGATTTTTATCGCAAAGACTTATCGACTTATAAAACAAATTGCCACAAAGTGCTTTTATTGGGTTGGTGAATTGAAAACTGCGGGCTATTGTCATATGTGACAGTTTGAGCACTTTCTTCAAAAGAAACCCATTTTGGTGTCAATGGAAAAGTTGTAGAGAATCAAAAATCAAGCTTATATCCAAATTTTCAGAACGATTCAAAAACTGGTTTTCAAGAAATGCCAAATTTACGAATTTTCACAAAACTTGCATTTTACAAAACATTTTAAGCAAAACTACTAAGTGTATCTTTTTGAAAATTTGGCTATAAGCCTAATTTTTGATTCTCTACAACTTTTCTATTGGCGCCAAAATGGGTTTCTTTTGAAGAAAGTGCTCAAATTGGGACATTCCTCCAGTCCTCCATTTTTGAGTCTCACACACGAACCAAAATCCTGTAAAATCCGCAAATTGCCTGGAAAATGGGCAGAAGTCGAGGAAGAAAAAGAGGAAGCGGCAATGGGTGGGGCCAGGCGAGAAACCCGAAAGTGACCCTAAGCCCCATTTGCACCAGTAGAAGTTTATGCTCTGCGTTTTCTGGGATATGGAGGGAGTGGTGCACTGGGAGTTGCTGAATAGCAAGGCGACCGTTAATGCAATCAAATACAGTGAACAGTTGGGAAAGGTGGATGAATCCCTAAAGAAGAATAGGCCCTTCAAGTCAAAGATCGTTCTCATCCACGAGAACGCGCGCCCTCCTGTTGCAAAACTGACTCGCTCTAAAATAAATAGCCTTGTTTGGGGACTTTTGGCACATCCCCCATACAGTCCAGCTTCTTTTGATTACTATTTATTCTGGATCATGAGTAAAGAGCTTGCGGGAGAACACTTCGATTCGGAAGAAGCAGTCAAAAATTGGCTTTAAAAGTTTTTCGATTCAAAATCCTACTACGAAAGAGGAATCCGCAAATTGTCTTTAAAATGGGCAGAAGTCGTCAATAATAATGGAAATTATTTGAAATCAATTGATGGTTTTATGTTGAATAAATTTTAGTTTAAAGTTCTGCAGTTTTCAATTCACCAACCCAATAGTTTTGTTCTGTTTTGTTCCGTTAGTACTAGTTCTGTTTACTATTGTAATAGACTAGTTTACTTTGCTAATAGCCTATTTTAATAGTTTTCATTCAAATTGACTAGCATCCCATGCAGAAAAGATTAAAAAACTTGTTTTGAATTGAATTTTTATAATATTTAATAGCGAAATCTAGTTTTTTAATAACTTATTTTAATAGTTTTTCAGTAAAATTAACGATTTTCAAAGAGCCACCAAAGAATTTAAGTATTCTTCTCTTGAAAACTTTGTTCAAATTAAATTAAATGAAATTTTTAGCAAAAAATTCTAAATTCTTATAGCAAAGGTTTCAGTTTATTAGCTTATTAGCTTATTTAGCTTATTAGCTTATTTGGGGGTGGGACAAATGTGACCTTTTTTTTGCGCACCTGGACATTTGCGCACCTTTTTTTTGCTGAAAAAGGCCTTAGGCAAGGTCGTAGAGCTTCAAAAATATTTCCATATAGGGAATCGTATGCGTAGATTCCGAATTTCGACAAATCAGACCTCGCTGACACGTCAAATTTGGGCTAAAAGGCAAAAACTACGCAACTTAACGCTTTTCCGCAGTTTTTGCCTTTTAGCCCAAATTTGACGTGTCAGCGAGGTCTGATTTGTCGAAATTCGGAATCTACGCATACGATTCCCTTATATGGAAATATTTTTGAAGCTCTACGACCTTTCCTAAGGCCTTTTCCAGCAAAAAAAAAAGGTGCGCAAATGTCCAGGTGCGCAAAAAAAAAGGTCGCATTTCTCCCACCCCCGCTTATTTAGCTTATTAGCTTATTTAGCTTATTAGCTTATTTAGCTTATTAGCTTATTTAAATCTCACAGACTTGTTGCTTGATCGAATCCAAATCATCAACATAAATTGAAAGCATTTTTGATGTAGAAATCATTGCTCATCGTTTTCCTGTTGACAATTGTTATATTCAATGATTCAGTGATTCAATGTTTACGCGAGGAAAGGAAAAATTGGAGCCGATGAGCCGTTGAAAAGGAAAAGGAAAAGGGAAAGGAAAGGAAAAGGGAAACGAGTACGGTAGTTTGTGTCTACGAATTGTGCATTCATCTTTTAGAGATCGAGAGAAAAAACCCGTCTTGCCGTCGGCATATTTGAAATAAGAGTTGGGTTTTTGTTTAGCAATTGTATTTTGCATGATTTAGATTCATGATATTCTTGATATTGTTGATTATTGTTGATTATTGTTGATTATTGTTGATTATTGTTGATTATTGTTGATTATTGTTGATTATTGTTGATTATTGTTGATTATTGTTGATTATTCTTCATTATTCTTCATTATTCTTCATTATTCTTCATTATTCTTCATTATTCTTCATTATTCTTCATTATTCTTCATTATTCTTCATTATTCTTCATTATTCTTCATTATTCTTCATTATTCTTCATTATTCTTCATTATTCTTCATATTTTGATTGTCTGCCTTATTTTGAATCGTTTTTAATCATCTTGTCCATGTAAAAGCCTGATTTTTGTCAGCTTGCTTCAGTCTTTTAAGCCTTTGCAATGAAAAATGCAATGAAAAGTGCAAAAATTTCCTTTTGCGGCTAAATCTTTTGCTTTTTGTTTATTTAGGGATTTTTTTAGGCCTCAAATATACATGCCAAAAGTGCTTTTGCCAAATATTCTGCCTTACAGGTCTCGAGGGTAAAAACTAAACTAAAACATCGGATTTCCCGTGAAATTCTCTAAAAGATGGTCTTGTTTTGAAAGACCATGATGAGTTCATTCCTCTGCCTTGTAAAACCCATGTCTAGTACTAGAGTCAGTTCATGCCTCTCCCTACTTAGTTCAGTTTAGTTCAGTCTTGTTTTTTCCGGTTCCAGGTTCGGATGAAACCGAACTGAAACCCATGTCTAGTCTGTACTCTAATGTAGCCCTATTGCTAGCCAAGTCTTCAGTACTTCAGCTTTTCGTTCTCCTTATGTCCCATCGTTTAAGCTCCTCTCATATTTCTGTTGTTAAGACTATGACTCGTTAAAGGTACTAGCCGAAGACAGGTTATGCTAGGATACAGCTCTGTAATGTTAGATACAGATGGTCAGATACTGTGAGTTTTTCAAGGAGTTTTCCGAGGTAAACTCGAAAAACACCAGCTGTAAATGAACGTGTTGTTAGAATTTGATTTAGAATGGTAAATTAAGAATTCTTTAGATCTGTTAATTTAGAAATTCAAATGTAAATCTGAAATTCAATTGTAAATCAAGATCTTGATATCTATAGAATCGTACTAAAGGAATTAACTAATCTAGTATCTAAGTTCTTTTATATGTACACCGGTGCTTTTATGGGTTTGGGCTGGGAATATAAAATATGACCGTCGCGGAGATTCGAACCCACGACCTCTCGCTTACCGGGTGAACGTTCTACCAATGCGCTACACAGACACCTATCTCTTTCTTTTTGACTGGTTTTGAATGTAGGGAGCGTTATGCCTTCTTGCAGTGTTAATATCATCTGATAACCAGAAAGATTTCTATTCATAACCAAATTCGAAATTCAGTTAAACTTTAAAACCTATGCCCAAATTTTCTCGTGATAAGAAGTGCATAATTGTTAGATCTGCTTTCTTTTCTATTGGGTTGGGGACTATGACTCGGCGCCGAAAATCAAAAAAATTTCTAAAACTTCTAGCAGACTTCGTCAAATAATATGCGTTTGATATCAGTAGAAAAGTTAGCTAATTCTCTACAAAATGACATTTAAAAGAAAACTCAAACAGCGCCTCAGCTCAAGAAAAGGCCATTTTTTCACAAAAACTACAAAGTGTCATCTAGAAAAAACGGTTGGAGGGATCTTCCTGCAAATTTGGCAACTTATGTAATTGAATGTGCTCTATCTTTTTTACATAGACACCAAAGAAGGTTTATGTGGAAGAAACTGTTCAAACGATGAGTCGGACTCTTTGCCTTTTTGATCGGCTGCGTTTGAAAGTTCATAAACTCCACGAAAGAAAAGCTTTGTGGAATCTCTCAAAAGTCATTTTGTAGAGAAATAGTGGATCCTTTTGATGAAAGAAAACGTATATTTAAAGAAGGCTTTATGCGTGCAAAAAGTGTCTTTAAAGTTTGCCGCTGAGTCATAGTCCCCAACCCAATAGTTCTCAAAATGCTTTTATGTTTTCTTCTGTTTTCTTTCTTCTTTCTTTCTTCTTTCTTTCTTCTTTCTTTCTTTCTTTCTTTCTTTCTTTCTTTCTTTCTTTCTTTCTTTTTGACTGGTTTTGAATGTATTTTGGCTCTGAAAAGTTTAATTTAGCTGTAAATTCAATGATATCTTAAATCAATATCAATTTTTAGATCAATCACAATGGCGGGCCCGAGTGGGGGCGCTTTTGATCCATTTGAATGGAACGCTTTCTACTTCCCAAAAATGAGCCGCGAAGAAGCCGTTCAAATCCTCTCGGAAAATGATGTACAACTAGGAACATTTCTGTTGAGAGACAGCTCTCGTCCTGGCACTTTCTCATTGAGTGTTCGTGAATCGGATGAGGCGATGAAAGTACGACACTACTTGATCGAGAAGAATGAGAGCGGAGGCGTGAAAATCGCTGAACAAACATTCATTGACTTGCCCCAACTATTGAATCATTTCAAGTTACGCATTTTGGATAAAACCTCGTTGACGATTCCGTATAGGAAACGGGAATTGGAAAGAGTTCAGGCATTGTTCCGTTTCGAGGGAACAAAGGAGACTGATCTTTCGTTTGAAGCAGGAGAACAATTAGATATTATTGGAAAGCCGGAGCCTGAGTGGTGGCAAGCGAGGAACGCAATGCAAAGGACAGGACTAATCCCGGCGAATTATGTGGCACCATTAGGGGAAGTTGATAGAAACAGTCGAGGAGAATGGTCATCAAGTAGTAGCTCTGGGCCAAGCAGGCATTCAACTGCTAGTACACACGACCACGAGCAAAGTGCTGAGCCGAGACTCCCAGCACAGGCTTTTGTTGTACACGATCGAACGCCAAACGTCTACGATACAGCTGCTTTACGATTACAGAAAGGGCAACAAGTGGAGGTGCTTCGAAAGATTGGAAATGGATTCTATGAGGGAATTGTTGATGGGAAAAGAGGCACCTTTCCTCATACCTATGTTCGATGGGAGTAGGTTGATGGAAAGATTGATGCAAGATCGAAACTGGTGAAATTTTAGACTAGACATGGACACACAAATTTGAAGCAAGCTAGAAGCAAGTTAGAAGCAAGTTAAAAGCGTTTTTAGTTTACGTTTGTAGTGCCCATGTCTACTTTAGCCTATTTAAAACATCGGTGATTTCTAGTTGCACAACTTTATGCATCAATAATGGTTTTTGGAAATGATTTTGAAGTTGGGTAGCTAACTTTGGGAGTTGGGTAGGGAGTTGGGTAGCTAACTTACACTAGAGGATTTCTCGAGTAATATGTTCTCTAAAGCATGTCAATTTTTTTTAAACTATTGTAACTTTGCATGGTATTATCCCTTTTACTTGATCATAAACTCATTCGATGAAGAATCAGCTAGCTGTTGAATGGGATTAAAAACAAACAGGACAACAGAACGGCTAAAATCTGACTACAAGGTTCAAAACAACCCATCTTTTAGAAAACACGTTACTCGTGAAAAAAAGATCAGTCAAAAAGTCAAATGAAAAGTCAAATGAAAAAGTCGAAGTTTACTCTAACAGGGTTTCTTGGCTACCATAAAAACTCTAATAGAACGGTCTTTGACTACGCGACGCTCCTATAGAGGTAGGGGCCTTACGTAGTCAAAGTCAAAGTTTACTCTTAAACAAACACTGATATCTTGACACTAGTACGTCTATTTCTGCGCGCTTAGATATCCAATTAAAGTAGAGAGGATGGGTGGTTTTTTTGAGATATAACACATATTTTTAGCATTAACCAGCGCTTAGAAAAAAATGATTGAAAAGTGGCAAAAAAAGAGTCGATTTTTCATCATTTTTTTCTAAGCGCTGGTTAATGCTAAAAATATGTGTTATATCTCAAAAAATCACCCATTTTCTCTACTTTAATTTGATACCTAAGCGCGCAGAAAAAAACGAAACTGGTGTCGAAATATGGGTAGCTGATCAAAGCAGCGCCGTGTACAAACAGCGCCCCGGCAAAAATAGCCCTTCCGCTGTTAAGTCTCTATGTGTTTCTTATGCTTATTAAATGCAGAATACAATTCTCTACATTTTGCATACTTTCGGATCACTTAAAACATAATTGGTGTCGAGGAAAGCTCAGTTAACCTCTTTTTGAGCCCTTTTTCGTTTTTTTTGACATTTTCTCATCCTAGATTTGTTCTAAACGGTCCCAAAAGGTTCAGCAGATAGCTAATTTTTTTCTAAATCTAATGAAAATAAGAAGCACAAATAAACTTAACCGCAAACGCATTATTTTGGCTGGCGCTGTTTTGACCAGCTCTCGAGATCTCGCGCAGAAACAGTGTTTTGTTGAGATTGAGCATTTGTTTGGGAGCAAACTTAGACTACGCGACGCTCCTATAGGAGGTCGTTCTATTGAAGTTTTTACGGCTTTAAAGCATGTCACGAATATCATAGGTGTATGAGTTATGAGTTGTTGAACTGTATTCTTGGGCTGTAATCGTATAAAGCAAGCTAAATTCAAGCTAAACTGGGCAATATGCTCGTGTAAACCATATTGGAACCATATTGAACCATATTTAAGATATTTGGGTAAAGTTCAATGTCGCTTCAATAAAGCCTTCTAAAATCATAAACAATTTCGAAGCCATATCCGAGAGCCATATCATAGCCATATTTAAGGAACTACGCGGTTATTATAAGTCTGGTGAAAAATAGACGATTCTAAACCATTGACATAGTAAAACTCAAGAAAAAATCCAAAAAT